CTTCCAGAGACAGTTGTAAGCACTGTGTAACTGCCTCGAGGGTGCTTGACCAATTTAACACAACGTGGTGCGATCATCCCCCGTTGCGCGGAGTGAGGTTTCTCGACCCCGCACAACATGATCTACTCGACCACCATTATGGTTACGCCAAAAAAAAAAAAAAACGAGGTAAAAAAAAAAAAACGGTAACCTGGTTGCCGAGTTCACGAAGTGAATTGGCTTGTTTTACAACGTCGTTGCCAAGCGACGAAAACCCAATCCCGATGGCAAACACCGAGCGGGGGGCTCGTTTTACAACGTCGTTGCCAAGCGACGAAAACCCAACCCCGATGGTAAACACCGGGGGGGGCGGCTTGTTTTACAACGTCGTTGCCAAGCGACGAAAACCCAAACCCCGATGGCAAACAAGGCCGAGGGGGGCGATTAGGGGGGGGGGGGAGAAAGAACTGAACAGAGTCGAGGTAAGCTACGTATCACAATATATAACTTCGTACAAACGACGTCAAATACAACGAGCGGGGAAATATCCTTTGCTATAATTCAAATACATGATGCAGCAGTGGTGGTCGTCTTGCTAGCAGCGTACAGATGGGACGATATCGCCCGCCGTTTCAACGACACATGGGTCATCGTTCTATCGACCTGTTGTGGTACCCGTGCGGAAGGGGAGTTCGAAACCTGGCAAGCTTGATGTGCAGTGCCTGTTGCATACAATGCATCATGACCTTCGAAAATATTTCATGTTGTCGTTGACAACGGCTCCGGGGGTAGAACTTTGCCATATTCTCAAGGAATACGTTGAGACCCTTAGCGAATGGACCGGCTTGGACCGGGTTGCAGAGTGTGCTGGTTGTCCACCAAGATAGCAGGACCGGAATGATTACCAGGCGGGTTTATGCTGTAATTGGACAATACTTTAACAGGAAGGGTTCCAAAAGATGTCCGAAAGCCTGACCTGCCGCGTACGGAAGTTCTTTAGTAACGTAGAAGAAAAATCCTGTGGAGGAGATGAAGATACTGTGAGCGACCAAATGGATGGAGTGACAGATCAAGTACGCAAATATTTACCTGGCAACGATCCTCGAGAACACACTCTCCCGTCCAGAAACGTCCCCCTCCCCTTGTGGCCCAGCCCCCGTCAGCCCGTTCGATTCGCCCACCGACTGCCCCAATCCGTTTTCTGTGTCGGTCTCATCCACTGCTGCTTCCGTTGTGTCGATGTGATCACTGGGAACACCTTGCAAAGTGCCGGCCGCTGTTGCTGCGTCTTTCGCTTCTTCCAGGCCATCCCGATCGACCGCCCAGTAGGCCACCATCGACACCGGCGGCGTTCCTCTTACCTGTTTTCCCCCCAAGTACGCCGCAGTAGAGGGAAAGGTAAGGGTGTACAATGTGGTAGCCGCAGCGGCAGCAGCGCGGCGGAGGAGCATGCGAGAAGGTCACGGGGCCCGTATCCACTCGCGGAGCTTCCCTGGAAAACAACTGATTGAAGACGCGTCGTTATTCTCAGAGATGCAGTCTTAGAAGATTCACGCAGCTTTTACCTGTATGTTCATTATGAAAAGAAATGGCGCATCATCCCCTGACGTCATCGCCTCCACACGCTCGCGGCACGTGCCCCTACAACGGAGCAAAAGAAGCAGACACGTACGTGAGGGACCAAGGAGCGACGACAATGGCAACATACAAAAGGAAGAGGAGAGTCCGCACCGAGGGCCCTCGTGTCCTTGAAAACACATCTTCCCGACAAGTAGCCAGTTCGATAATTTTGCGAAACAGTACAATGGGCGCTCTTTCTGTTTCGTGCTGCTTGCTGTCTCTCTCGCAAACCACTGGTACAGTACGATGCCGATCATCCATAAGACAAGCGGCGCCACCACACATGCTACACATACGAACACAATCTTGTAGTACGTGCGTATCGTTAGAGTGGGAGACACCGGCAAATAGGGCATGCCGGAGATGTTGAAACGCACCCTGTTCATCCCTGTAATACCAGTGCACAACGCTCCGAGAGGTCCAACGATTTCTGTTTGAAATAACCACATCGCCAAGAGAGGTCACTAGTATTCAGATCTAACACTCGCATCCCCTGAAGCCAACCATGGGGAGGCGGAAAGGGGGGGGGAGGTGTAGTTCCATATCAGTGCCCCCATCCATCAGGCAAGGTGTGCTCCTTGCGTGGGAACACTTCACGGGATGATATGGGGATGCGGTTGTACAGCCGCAAAATCGTGTACTTCTTCTCATTTACCTGGAAGCGATGTGATCTATCCTCGTCGTGCCCTTGGAGTTTTCCGTGAAGCAGTCGAACCCGACAAGCCGGCACATAGCCCTTCCCGCCGGCAGCTTGGCTTTGTCCTGGATATGTGTGAGAACCAAAACGCTTGTTACCAAATGTGTCTGTTCGTGCACATCGCTGCCTTGCTATTGCGTGGACGTTAGATAAACCTTACATCCGACAGTACATATGCTTGCAGTCTTAAATCGCGGGTTTAAAAAAAATCCTAACATGCAAGTTAGACAAGCAGATCGGCGTTTGGACGTAATCGGGCAATACGCTGGCACCACCACAGAGGGGGCGACTGCCGTACAAGGCTAGAACCTAAGAAGCACAGCAACAGTGCACAGCAGTAGCATCATACACCAAGAGGCAAAAGTGGCCAAGAAGCTAAAATATCCCAGCAGAATTTATGGAAACGACTTCAGAGGAGAGGTACCACACACCGACTGTACTGTAGTAGCTGAGGAACCTCTCGAAACGAGTAAAACATTACTATTTATCTCGATTCGACCCACGCTTGACATGACGGTGAAAGCACGTGCTGGCGGTTGTACGTCGTTGGGTCCATGTAATTCAGAGATCCAGGAGTCACATGTAACACAGGGGGTTGTTGGTGTGGAAGTTGTACTTGTATTACTGCTGGACTAATTAGAGTTTCGGCCTCGTCTGTTCTATTGTGTTGATTCGGCGTTCCTTCAACAGCTTTCCGTACTATCCTCTGTCATAGCCGCACTCCATGCCCTAGCCCATTAACAATGAATTAGCCCCGGGGGTATCGTTTTTTATTTCTTGTTCATTTTTTCGCCCCTCTACCCTTGATTTAGCCCCGGGGTGTTCGTCTTTCGGCAATTTATTGGGGCGCCCCAACACAAAACCCACGGACGGAATTCCATTGCGGCAGCATTTGGTTCAGTGTTGTGCTATACAGCAGGTGCATCACAGCAGAAAAGAGACAACGCCCCCCGGGGCCTTTTCGCGCGTTTTTTTTTTTGCAGAAAGATCCCCCTCTACCTTTGAGATAGCCCCGGGGTGTATGATTTCACAAAAGTAAGACGATCGCCTCGGGAGGCTATGACAGAGGATGTAGGCATGTTGGCGTGCGAACGTGCTGGCAACCTCGCCATGCAGACTCGGCACTACACGCGAAAACTTGAAGAAGTGCATGGTACACAGTCTGCCTGCAGCTCATGTATTTGTGCACGGATCACTCACAACATATGAGATAGCGAAGCAATCCCACCAAGACAGTTGAGATGTTGCATACCAGACTTCACAGGACCCTTTTGGTCGCACAAACGAACAAAAGCCGGTAAGAGCACAAGAGAGGGCCGATCAGGACCTGGCCAGTTACACGGGAAAAGTTCAACAAAATCTTGTCAACCTCGACATTGACACTTTTTCTGGTCATGGGGCATGATGTCGAGATCGATCACACCCGCGTTGGCGCTGTATCAGTAGACATTGACGGAAGACTGCAGTAAGGCACTTTCCGAGCCAAGTTTTCTGACATTTTCTACCCCTACCGAGCGGATAATAACAAAATACCGTAAGGTTGCGAGTCGGCGCACGGTCCGGGGTCTCGGCAGTCCGGAGTCATCGCACAGGGGTGCGATGACTCGCAACCTAGGATAGTTGAGTGTCAGCGATTCCGGGGCAACACTCACCCCTGTAGCCAGGCCAGTGCTGGCATGTTGTTAGCTCTGCTTTATGGGTAGGTTATGGTCGCACACCACACGTGGAGGTATGAAGGAAATGAAACACAAACGTGTTGGATCGGTAAACTTTTTCCTTCCGTCCGACGAGGGAAAGAACAGGCTCTATCTACCAGGGGCCCAAGTTTCAATAAACGACCGCCTGAATTTTCCATCCTTTTCGACCAGCACGAGGTCTATGTATAGAGCACCGATTGACGATCTGCTGGCTTGTGAGGAACAAGAAAAATAGGGCGCTCTTCACCACGCCGGTTTGGTCGTGCTCCGACAGCACATGGCCGTGCTTCATCGGCGATTGTACCCCGAAACCATAGGAGACACTCACCCCGCTCCCCGCGGAGTTGTAGAGGTAATGCAAGCCAAGGCATCGTAGATATTCCACACATGCACAAACACGCGGTTGGTTGCCTGCTGCATACCCCCAGGAGCAACAGAGGAAGCAGTTAGAGAAACACGCAACACCGCCAGGATTGGCAAGACAGCACTGGCGGGGGAAGGGATCCATACACAGAGCTAGTGGCGGGTGCCATTGTCATTGCTGTTGTCTAGGTGTGTGGACAGGGATCATCAGTGAAACCCAACTCCAACTGATCCCAGCAGATGCGGCGTTTTTTTTCGGACTGTCCCACACTCTCGGGCTCGCAGCTCGCAATTTCTGAGCGTCCTCCTGGTCTGTATCAATCACCTCACAAAACGAAGCATGAGCAGCTCGTGGCGGATACCTTTGTTATTGCAGTTGCTTCGGCGAGCGGGGAGGGGTCGCCTTGAAACAAAAAGCTGTGCCATGGGATAAAATGCTCAAGAAGAGCTTGTTTTTTTTGGCGGGATGTTTTTTCTCGCATGCAAAATGCGCTGTGCCGACTCTCGCCGCCTCCAACTTCCGTGGGTCCTATGGCCCCGTGGCCTCTATCAGCCGCCACACAAGACGTGGTGGCATAAAAACAGGTCGCGGGGAATAGCTTTACAAGTGCTGCTGCGACACTCTTGTGCAGAGAAACTACCGAATTAAATTTATCAAGTCGATATGGAACGCACGTATTGGCACACAGGTCTACCGTGGGTGACGTAAGGTACCACCCCCAGTGCCGATATTTTCAAGCTCGATTATTCGATTATTCCACGACGAAGAGGATGCGTAAACCCACCCAGCAGGTTTATTTCCACACTCACTGAAAATACCTATACACATGCCTTCGATTTGGGTATTGTCCCGAACGGGGAGGCTCTCTGTCTGCGATTGTATGGATGCATGGACTTACTGCGAAGTGATGACATTGCGCCGAAGAATGCGCCGAACAAGTCACCGTTGGTGGTATTTCTTAGGTCTCGGTGGAATTGCACACCCAACGGCACCGGCACACCCACATGTATGCGGTTGTTGACAAGACTGTTCCAGACATCACAGACTTGCATGAGGTGCAATAGTCAAGCTCTGTGACTTGCATGAGGTGCAATAGTCAAGCTCTGGAATTGGACATGTGTAGCACACCCGTCATACTGGCTTGGTGAGCGATACGTACATCAGTTCATCATTCGTTGGTGTACAGGAACACTGATACACGCACCTGAAGATATGTTGGCCCGCGGACAAGAAAGCTATGGATGCTGGCCGCGTCTTTCCATCTGCAGGTGTCATTCCCGTCGCAACCAGAGGCACTAGCTCCGGCCTGCCGCCCTTCCTCTCCCTCCCTATCAACCATGCACGCCGCGCTGAAATCCACCCCCGGAGAAAGAGGTCTCTCGGCTTCCGCTTCACCGTCCAAACCTACAAGGCCTGAGAGATCGGCAGAGGTGTGTTGGACCACTTCCCAGTCACAGCATTCGTCTGACACACTATCACCAGGACCACGCCCATGATCCGCGGGTGCAGCCCCTTTCTGAGCGTCCTCGTCATCTCTTGACGAGCGTCGGGATGTGTCTGCGTCAACTGTCTCCTCGCTCGAGCGTCTCCGGCCCGTCCTCGGCGTTGGTGCAGAAAATGCCGCACCGCTGCCATCTTGCTTCCCTAGGAAAGCGGGAACGTCATCAGGGGGAAGGGCACTTGCCGCCGATGTGGGGGACCGGGCGCCCGATCTTCGCAACCCCAGCCACTTCGACATGGGGATCGATGAAGGGGAAGAGCCGCACGGCAGGGTTATGCGACGGCTTGGCGTACACACCTTTACCTTTCTCCCATCTCTCATCTCTCATGTCTATTTTTCGCCGCTGCCGCGGTGCCGTCTCGGGAAGATGATTGCGGCATCATTCGTTTCGTTTCATTTCTCCGATTCCTACAATCGGGCTTCTGAGCGCAAGGAATTCGATAAATCCTATTGGGCGGGCCCGTGCAAGATGCGGGAGCAAGATGCGCGCGCGCTCGCGACGTTCATATCATTTATACGTCGGTCGGCCCGTCAAGGGGTGGGTTCCTCGCAAATCTGTGAGATGCGAGAGAGCCCGCGATGCTCTACCTCACGCTCGAAGACGACCCTTTTCCGGACCAAGAGTACGATGAGGAGGCTCTCCTGGAGGTGTGTTTCACGGCCACCAATAACGCTGCACATCAAAAGAACATGCCTGCACGTTAGACAGGCTACCCCACCAGCCTGGTGGTCTAGACTACAGCAGCGCCGCTCGTCCATAGACCATGACTAAGAAATATCGCAAGACGTCGAGGCTTACAGTACATACACCATACCAAATCCTGTACGGGGGCTTTGCAATACAAATTGTAGCCTGTGTTCAATCGTCGAGACAAGAAGGCTGTGAGCCTTGCTCAAATACTGTTGGGGCTGCTGAGCGGGTCGGTCCTCCTGAATTGAGTTCGTCCGTTTATTGGAACCAAGTATGTGTGGCTTCGAGTCCCCTGTCCACTCAGCGTGGATTTACACTCTGTGCATGTAAGTAGACTTTCGAGGTCCGTGAGAGTTGCTGGTGGAGAGAGACAACAACAGCAGTCGCGGTGTCCGTTGGGTCATTTTGAATGCTCGGGATCATGACCTCACAAGCGCAGGCGAGGGGAGGACTGGACCCCTCGGAGATCACTGCTGACTCCGAGACGGATTCATGAACCCCAAAGCGTACATCATCTTCTGTGTCAGATGTACTATTCTAGACAAGACTGCCCAGTCAACCCCAGACTGGGTAGTCTACAGTCTACGTAGCGCCAGTGGGCTTTTAAACTGATGAACAAGGCCACGTGCCTATTGTACGGCTCCGTCCTTTCACCCCTGTACGGGATAACAGTATTGTACTGCACTGAAGGACCTCCCGACTGGGGCGCCGTGGATACGTAGCGGGCTTGACCTCTGCAGGTTTTGGGTTGTCCAAGACGAGTATATATATTGCCCCAACATAAACACACGATGCGCAAATACAAGTATTCACTGCAACCATTTTTTACAATGCTGATGCTATTCCGCAAACACACAACAAGTTGGTGCGGTCGGTGGCAAGAAGGGACGGGGATGACCGAACGGTTAGTGAGCTCATCAGATTTCAGGATGCTTTGGAACGGCTGGGACTACTTTGGACACCATTGGATTCCCTCGACAAACATCAGGCCCACGAACTCGTGCGGAACCTCCACGTGAGTCGTGAGTAACATCCACAACCAAATGCGCCGAGAACAACGAGATTATCACGGGTGTAGGGATCGGCCATTTGTATTGGAAGTCGTTCCATCTCATCCTATATCGAGTGGTGAGTCTCTTTCTTTCGTGAAGATTATTTGACAGTGACCATCGATCGTAAGCGTTAGTCTTGCTTCATGGTTGTCGGTGAAATGGACCAATCTGCCTGCCGCAGGGCATTCATTTCCTTGAGACAACTGCTGCAGACATTCAATTTTCGAGTAGAAGGTCTGCCCGACCCCACATGATGCCTATGGACGTCAACCTTGGAGTGGTCCAAACTATAAAAGGTACTCTAATGGGCGCTCTACAAGTTTGTATATAGCGTTTCTTGTATTGAAATGGCTACAGCCGTGCTGGAGTGAATAGATTGAAACGCTCAAAGTTGAAAACATGCTCGCGCGATGGTCAACCGATGACACGCAGCTGGAACTGACTGCGCCGGGAGACATGGTGTACCTCAAACACTCGCCAGCGATGAGGTCGTACGTCGTGTTGAGGGGGACAGTTCTGCTCACTAACAACGTGCTCGACAGAGAAGGGGCGGAGGTGAGAGACTCACAAGGAACAAAGGATAAAGGAAATTTGTCTAAAAATCTTTTGCTATGAGCCAGCCTCTCCGGCAACGACGGGGTACGGGTGTTGTCAGCGAGGTCGTGACGGTGCACGAACGCATCGAAAGCAGCTGAGACACACAGCACACTTTGCCCCTGCCTTACCTGCCTGGAACGTGTTCTTGATAAAAGCGCGGTTGGCCTGCCTCGGACACCAAGTAAAAGCCAAGGCAATACATAACTATTTGCCGCCATTTCGAGTTATTTCGGCCGGCTGCAGACGTCTGCGGAGCATCGTACCGGTATCATCTCCACTATTGCGTGTCACCACTGGAAGAAAACGTTTTTCACCCGCTCTCGCTGTCCCCAAAGGGTGTGCGTGTGCTGGGAGCGGGGCAGGAGTTCGGCCAGCCCTTGGAGCCAGACCTGGATGGTGACAAGCCTGTTGAGGACTTTCTTGAATATGCGAAGACTCCACACCTAGAGCTTCTACACGACAGCGGTGGCGACGTTGCCACTACGACCCGCGGTGGGGGCAGGAAGGATGGGAGAGCCGAGCTTCTGGTCATCGGACGTCAGGACTGGATTTCAACGCTCCAAACTTGCAGGCACGTCACGATAGTCGCCTTTGGTTAAAACAAAGAAGGCGCACCACGCGTTTGGACTGGTCGAGCTCGCAGCTGAGGAATCTTGAATCGCATGCAGGGGAACACCGGAACACGCTCTCTTCGGTTGCTCGCTCGTTAATCGGAGGACACGTCAACACTACCTTTTTCTGGTGCAAGAACGTTATATTTGCACAGAATCAGCCGGTGAAAAATGCATGTTGCGCATAAGCTCTACACAGAATTAATACGTAACAGCAACATTGCACTCTCTAACTTAAGCAGGTAGCATTCGTACTCTGTGCATCATTTTGTCTCCGGGTACTCGATCTGTCGTGGTTTTCTTGTTATCAGGAGCCAGTTCACAAACACGACAGACAAATACGACGCATCGAAGGAACCCGACCACCTTAAGAGCAAGGCCCGCTTGGCTTTCAACTTTCCGGCGAAAGGAAGGGCGGGAGATCAACTCGAAATCGCGATCAAGTACCTCACGGAGAGGGTGAGATGGACCGCTATTGGTGAAACTGATTTCCCAACGTCTCCTCCGCAGCACAGCTTTTCGGTGCAAGGTCATCCGTTGATGAGCTTTGGGGTGACTGGCGAAGTGCTTCATTTTGGATAGGAAAACGTCCTGGAAATCTGGGTTTTGATACCAACAGTTCGAGACGCACTTGAAATATTGCCAACCCCGTTCAAGACGCGTAGTTAACAGCAAAGACCGCTTTCACCAACACTGACTCCAAGTACTATCGGCCCGCATCATTCTACTTGTGGCGACGGACATGACGTTACTGCAGAATTATTTACAATGCGGGAGATGATGTTCAGGGTAAGGTCAGAACTCTATCATACGGGTGAAGACAACAACAGTATCAACAAAAACGCTTCCATAACTAAATTCAAGCGCATTGGGGTCACATTCGTTGGAGAGCTTCGTCCTCCAACGTTCACCCGGGGCTCAAAGCCGTGAAATGAAACCGAGGAACACCTGTGATATCTGTGTTTTGTCATGGGGGGTAGATCCGTCTTGACGACCTTAAGCTGTCACACTCACCAATTCAAGATGAACGACAAAATGCCTCTGCAGGAATCCGGACGTCATCGCTTTGAGTTTTCTTTGGGCCTAGATACATTTATAGGTGTGCGTCGAAGGCAAGACACGAGTATCAGCATGATAGAGCTACTTCAACCTCTGCCCTGGGTATGAAATCTATGAATATCGACGTGAAAATTCTGCAAACGTTTACAGGGATGCATCAACGTATCCACAAAGGGCCTTCCTCATCATTCTATTGATAGTTGGATTTCTGCAGACGATTACTGTCCTCAACGTATCCCGTCAGTGCTCGCGGGACTCCCACGTTACAACCAATTCTGGTCGTTGTGGATTACGCCATGAGATGTATTCATTGCGTTCGCCTGTTCTGTTCCACGAAGTGACGGCCGGTTGATGGTCTGAGACTTGATCTACATACCCTCGGATCCGCCAACATATTCCAGAGGTGACCCCTCTTGTCAGACCCACCACCGTTCTCTATTTATCGCACAGGTGGCGTTCTGCGCTGATCTACCACTGGAGCAGGTAGCTGCCATGGCTGCAGCAATTGAGCTACGCGGATTGACAGTTCCAGGCAGGCGCGATGGTATTTTTTCGTTTGTGTTGACACATACCAAATGAACGAAACCACAACGGTCGTTCGGCAACATTCCGGAATCGGCAGTAAATATTGCGCTATTTAGAAACAAGTGGGTTGTACGTCCGTGCAAAGTCGGTTCGATGCGGGTAGGCGTGTGAACAATGATGGTTCCAAACTCGGCACGCGATAAGAAACAGCAAGTCTAGGCAAATGCGTTGAGAGTGGAATGAATCCCGCGCTCTTCCGACACCCAGGACTCAGATTCAGAGTCGGGAACAAACCAACGACGTACCACACGTTCTTTTTATTTTCCAGGCATGTCTTTCGGAGAGGGCGCGAGTGCTTCGGTGAGGCATACATCATGTTCACTGGAACTGCCGACCAGATCGGCGGCGATAAATCTGGGGATAGACTGATAACGTAAGTGTACGCACGTGGTCTGGTCTCGCCTGTAAACTGCCCTTGTCGTTATATGCAAAAGTACTCGAGTAAACCCGTCTTGTGCCCAGAATCTCGCAGGCGATCATTTGTTCCTGTATCACGGAGGCCGTAAAAAGCTACAGGCTGGCACGTTGCGAAACAACGCGCGCCTGCTTTGTAAGTTAAGTAGTGTAGCAACAACTCCACTCAAAGTTGGTTCACGAGTTCAACAGCGACGTTTCCCCGTAAAATGCAACTTGCGTGGCTCGAACACCTGGTGTTTTGTGACTGGCAAGGTCTGCAATGGACACGAAGGGCGTAGATGCCAACCAGGTTGGTTTCGGCTTCGATTCCCCCCCCCAATTACTGTCTCGATGCTACGTCGCGTTTCCATGTGCTGTGTGCATGCAGAGAGGGAGATCTGTTCGGTGACGAGTACTTCTCGGTGGCCGTGAAGGATGTGCTGGGCATCCCGTTTCGGACGGCCACGGTCATGACCCGGACGGCTCCCTGTGAGCTTCTCGTGGTTCCCGCCAGGTGAATTAAGCGTCGGACGAAACAACCATGGCGTCAGAGAGTTACTCCTGTCCTAGATGGGATTCCCGCTAGTCTTCATAGGGTCAAGCACGATATAGGTAATCACGTCGGCATCTGATGGTCTCGAGTCTTCTGGCAACCGTGACTTTGAGTACGTCACTAACATGCTTCGCGCACGTAGTCTGGGCTCAAAATTTGGCATCTGCCAGCCTGCATAGGCCAGCCTATTTTAGACCAATGCGAGGTCTGACGTGAAAGAGAAGGATGACCCTGGCGCTTTCCTTCTCAGCACATTGGTGGCCAACAACGACCTGTTACACGTGCGTACCTCCCACGTGTTGGCTTGCTTCGCCAGGGAATGCCGCCGTCTGCGTGCCTTTGTGGCTCTTCGCAATAGCGAGAAGGCCATGGCAATATTCGACAAGGTGAAGAACCAAGGACATTTTCTCGAGGAGAAAACCGCGTATCTGTTTTTCTCTGAAGAATGCGGAGTACCATGCAGCCTTGTGACATCAACTTATTCTCTGGTCCATCAAAAGTTGTCGACTAGAACATATTGTTAGCTTTTCCTCTGTATCATCTCGGACAGTAACGATGCTACCGTAGCGTCAGAAAGGCTTGCGAAGCGGTGCTTTTCCGCTCCATTGCCTGAACAAAGCGGTACAACCCTTACATTTCATTGTTTAATTTCTGGCGTTGCTTGACTAACCCATCAGCTGTGGTTCGCTTGATCCCGTCAACTGATCGACATATGTCGCTGACATGCTGTGGCTGTGACTCTACCAACGTCTTGCTTTACAGGGAGGCATACATTTTTCCGAACGGCGTTGTTGTATTTCATGGCGCTCTTTGTGTTGGTTATCTTCCAGAATTCAACGTTCTCTCGCGTCTACCTTTTGAAACCTCATGCACTCCTTACGATGATTGACGCTGCAGCCGATGGGAATAGCAATCATTTTTTTATCTTCTCATAGTACTCGCTCTTCAGTGGTAAGTTTACCGACGTCAATGAGTTCGTTCACCATGAGCGGTCATTCTCTTCACCATCCAGTCTTCAGCCCCCAAGTCTACCCAAGTGTTCATATTGTGTAGGCGAACCTCTGCAAAGTTTTCAGTTTGGCAGAGTGAACGAACCACGTTCTCCCACATTTGTCTGAAAACCCACATGCCTCTGTCTTTCTCTACCTGCCTCTGTCTCTCCATCTCGTTCTCCCTCCCCGTTTTGTCTATATTTTCCCTCCTGTGCCGGCGGCAGTTTTTCATAAACCTCCCGAGAGGTGTCTGCTCTGAGATCGCCTCTCTCGCCACATTTCGCACGATCAAGATGAATCAAAAGCTAGCGGAAGATGGGGATGAGGTCTCAACTGTCTTCTTTGTCGTTCGAGGCGAGTGCGTCTCGAAGTCGAGTAAACAGCTCCATCAGCAGCCAGGCAAGGGCCACGAGGAGGAGGAGGCCCAGCGGTACGGCCCCGGGGACATTGTAGGCTGGTGAGAGTCGCGTTTGGCGTATAGACTAGGCTTATGAAGTTGACAACAGACGATTGCATAGAACGTCATCTCTTGGATGCCTCGTCTCTAGAAGATGAAACCCGTTAGGGTTAGGCTAGATTGTGATTCCTCGTCTAGCTATCGCCAATTTTCTTGCCGTTTGAAAGTATTGATTGCTATAGGACATGTTCTTGGGGTTGGCAATGGTGGAAAACACAGTGAAGTGGCCCCAGCAGGACTTAAACCAATGAAATCGTTTCACAATGGAACGATAAGACTTGACAACGTCCCGGGCCGCAAGTGAATCGTTGCCATTGACATACTTAGCAGGTCATTCTATGTGAAAAAAAAATGTATAGGGAGCAAGGCCGTGCAGATGGCCGTCGAAGGTAGACCCATTCGAAACTATCAGGAGGGGAAGGGGAGTAGCGCTGAATCGAATTTTCGAGACTCTCCCCAACCTCAATCCTTTCATCGCACCTGGCGGAACGCAAACGTTTGTGTTTTGATTTTCTTTTCTATTGATGCGCTTGTTCTACAGGCCATATTTGATGCCCAGACCGCCAGCACGTGGGCGTAGTCCAATTGTCGCGAGAACGGCGGCCATTACGACGACACCACAAAAGACAGCGATCGGCGGGAGTGCCGAGGATAAACCGAACACGCCTCCGGAAGGAAATGAACAGGAACGGAAGCGGAGGTCTCGTCGCAACGCCAAGGTGCCTGAAAGCCGTCCTTGCGAACCCCTGCCATCGGGTAATTTCATGCCCCTCTGTCACCAACGAAACGCCCCATGCCTACACGCGTTCGATGCATTCGTGTACGCCACGTCATGACCCAGGCGCGTACCAAGGCACGTTAGGCGTGCCAAAATGACGAACCAAATAACCCCGCTCGGCTCCGTCAAGTATGTACGCGAACGCCTCTACTACGTCACGTGTGTACGCGAAATGGGCATAAGCACGGATGCAAGTCTGATCGAATACTACCAATATAATAGTCCCGTCTCTAAACCGAACGGTGAATGAATGTCTCCTTTGCAAGCCGGAGGTGACTGATTCTCTGCATGGTTGCATGCCTGCGTGTGTAGGAGTGGCACTGTTCGATCACAGTAACGACCCCGGCACAAGTGCTTTCGGTCCCGTTGGCCGCCCTCCTCAGCTTTCTATCGGAGAGGGCCATGAAGGGGTTGAGGTCAGTGGGAAAGGAAACCGGTTCTGTGGGCGGACTTGAACCATTTTCGAGCACTTCCATGTCAATTTCGTTAATGCAAATTTCGATGCGTGTCCAATTGGTTGGGCCCAAAGAAATCGCAGACTATGATGCGTTGCCGAGGGCGAATGATAAGAAGGAAGCGCTGCGAGCTCGGTTACAGAACAGTGGCTGAAGGTTGCAGTTGCCTAGCTCGAATCTTGGCTCTACGATATGCGCTTGAATCTCCCCGAAGCGAGAAAACTCGCAAATTTGAACTGAAAAGCGCATAGGAGTCCACACAACAAAAGAGGGATTGATACACCCTTCTCGTCCAGAATGGTGAACGCAAGCACCGCAGGAGGAAAGGTGAAATAATCCTCCTCGGTAACCCCAGGCTGGTGAGCTAACCTTAATAATATAATCTGCGAGGGATATTTCGCGTTTAAGGATGATTTTTCTCGACAACCGGACTTGCCTAAAACTCAGAAGTTGAACGTTTCGGACGGTGCTTCTGCAACCCATTGACGGGTGTGTGTCTACCCGTTGCTCTGACAAGGTAGCAGCAAGACATTTATCATACTACTCGAACGGACGGTATACCTTTGGCTAAGGCGTCAACCTCTCACCCGTACAAACCACCATGCTGCCCTCGCGCCTCTACGTCCACCCATTCCCGGGTATTTTCCTGAAACCTGTCCACTGGGTACAGGAGGTACATTGCGCACACCCACAAGCAGAAATTGGAGGGACCTTCGTCTTCATCGCATTCGGGCGGTCTCGGCGACGAGGAGAGTTTAGATGGAGAGAGTGAATTGGGGGAATTTTTCAGCGGCCACGGAGGATACGACCGAAACGCCCCAACGCTGTTCTCTGGTGGCGGCACATGGAAAGATCAAAGAAAAACAGGGAGGATGTCTCCTCCCGTGGCCCGACTAAGGTACTGATATCTACAACGGGAGAATGCCCGTTCTTCTCTCTTTTCTCTTCGTGTCCCAAAATGGCACGTGGTGCTTTAGCTTTCCTACTGCGTGTTGGTGTACTCAGAGGCCCAGACCCCTCCGGATACCTAGTCTACTAGAGATATTCCGGAGCTCGTTGCATCTTCTACAATAATGTTTCACTAGTTGCTACCACACACGCCAGAATGTCCACTCTTCCACACCCGGCACAGGTTCACCGCTTGTTTTGCCTCTCTCTGTTCGCGTGGTTACAACACACGGGCAGTTGGGTGTAGCTCTATCATCGCAATCACCCAAACCAAGTCTTCTTCTCTTCCGCCCCTGCAAAGACCATCAACGGCACCAGAACTGATCGCCTTGAAGACGGCGATCCAAAGCGAGGAGTGCGAAAGCCGGCGCCCGAACATAACAGTCTTGCCCGGAGGCGTACACGCTCTAATTGAGGGGATATCCAGCCGAGACAACTGGCCCCGGCCGCGACCGAGCACCCGCACGCGCTGGCGTTGGCGCGTGGGCTTGACGGATTCTATCGCAGACCGAATCTCGACCGCTCCGCAGGGGATCCACAACTTGAGACGTAGCCTGCAGTCCGCGCCGAGTTCGTCGTCGTCGTCGCCGCCTGTGATCTGGGGCTATGCTAGAGTAGCGGAGCGAGGGATCGGCGGGCACGGGGACGAGGCAGAAGCACGCGGCGGGCGCTGCTCCTGCCCGATGGAAAGCTGCCGCGTTTGCTCGCCGTTGGACAGGTGACAGACGGCCGGGGGCAAACTGTTCTTAGTTGCACTTGTTCAAAAACACAATCCTAGGGTTGCGACCAGTTTCCATCACGCAGTGATCATTTGCTTCAGAGTGATGAAACATTGATTACGACAGAGCCAAGCAATGGTTGTTGCTGATGATCTACCCTCCCGTCAAGAACCACGCATACGAATTGCCACTTCATACATAGCTTGGATCCTCCAGCCACAGCTTTGTCCACCTTGTTCACGAACCACGTTGACGCTCGGGAATTGTGGTACTGCCAGGCTTGAGCGACTGCGAAATACCACCATCTGGACCCCGTCACTACCATCACGCTCAACCAAGCCCGCCAGCGCACCTTCTGCGGTGGCCCGAAGCTTTGCGAGCGGCTGCACCACACGAAACATAGGCACCATAGCCCAAATGAAGGCCACTACGGATACTCCTGGGAACACTCTCTCCGTGGAGCTAAAGGCGTCGACGTTCCGTCCCGCGACCAGACCATACGTCCATCACGCCGGCAAGGCCCATGTCGCTCACCCGACGGGTGGCATAGCAGCGGGAGATGAGGCCTTTGGCGGAAAACCCACTCTATGGGGAGGGTGGGGATTGCCTTCGTCCAAGATCGGTGGCACAGGTCATGGGGCCGTTGCTAAGGGCAGTGATGGTGCCCATGGTGGGACATCGACAAGCGGAAACAAACTCGCGGGGGGCGCCCACGTGGGCTTCCATGATCGCCGTACATCACCAGCTGGTCAGGGAGGAGCGGTGATTGCTGTCGCCGATGCCCCCGCCACGGCCGCCGTCGCACCGATGTCGGACTTCGGCGTCACCAATACAAGTCTAGGACGGGGTGCTCGCCGTGAACCAGACTCGGGAAGCGAAATGTCCTTACCTCCAGCCGCTGCAACACTTCCACCGGATCAACCACACCTTGCACGGCTTTCGTACACCCTCGTGCAGCTGAGCACAAGGTGCGTTCGTGAGCCGTCGGTTGGTATTGCTGTTTCCACCGGAAGCACGTGTTCCGCGGTTTACGTATGTATTTTCGGGTCGTTTCTTCTTTGTACGTTATCTCGTGATATTCTCTGCCGTTGCAGGCGCACATTTGTTAGTCTGTCCATGCCCTCACGAGGAACGAGAGATCACACAAGCGCTGATAGAAGAAGTGGTCGAGTGCACCTGTTATACTCACGAGTGTGTAGCGCGTTGTGCTTAGCTGCTTCATTATACAAACTTGACTTTATTCTTAAGGTTGCTACCTTGTCGAGCTGCCAGCCAATGCTAGCCGAGCCCTGAAGTAAAATGTATCACAAACTCTCTGGCCGCCTTCACGACAAAATCTTACAGGGCGGCATTGGACCCGCACGAGCCATTGGCAAACCTATGCCTCCGAATCTTGGGCTCCTTCGCTTGCGAAAAGGAAGCCACGACGCGCGTGTCAAACCTTTACCGTTCCATTCTCCCTCCGTCAAGCGTGAGTACCGCAAAGCATACCTCGCAGTCCAGGCTTCGAGCCGAAAATGTGTCTAAGTCGAGTGGTCGCCCATCCCCCTGACCAATCTCCGAACCTAGGTGTGTCTTTCCTCCCTTCGCCAAACACCGACCAGCTGAAAGGAACGGCCCGTAGACGGATGTCATTGGGCACCTTTTTCAAAAGCCAGAGTGCCGGAGATGTAGAGAGAGAGAGCGAGAGAGCGAGGGAGAGAGAGAATAGGAGAGGCACATGTGACCACATTCAGGACGAGGGCCACATGAAACAATTTTTTCGGTGGTTATCCATCACAGTGAACCATTTCCTCTCGCTAAAGGTTAGGTGGGATTTCAATGCCCAGTAAACACTGGTACTTTTACATTGTACGGAATCTCCATGGTGTTCAGTGAATGTTGGAATATTCCTTGTCGTACTCATGCAATGCCTGCGCCCTTGCTCTTTTTCGATCCTGGCGCTTCGTCTCAACCAACAGATAGTTTGGTTACCATGCCAGGGGTCCACTGCAAGGTGGAAAGACCAACTTGCGTTGACGTCATCTTGTTCAGACCATCTATTTCTCCTTTGCAAGGGTATACCCGTTGGGCGCTTGAGCTTCAACCTTCTACAAGAGAATGGTACCCAGGGAAGAGGCGACGATACCCAGAAAAGCAGCGACATCGACCACGGCAGCAGATTCAGCAGCGGCAGCAGTAGCCTCGGAAGATTCCCCAGTACCAGCAGCGGCATCAGCACCAGCAGCAGCAGTAGCAGCAGCAGCAGCAGTAACGACGCCAGCATCCACCTCGACAATCCTGGAGGGGTCGGTCGGGGATACGACTCCAGCATCCCCGCGGTTTTCAAAGCCAAGGTTGGTTTCACTGTTATACGTTTTGGAACATTTTCGTCCATTGCAAGAGTTCTTTCCAACGCGTCTGGCGGTACATACCTCTAATTTATTTGGCAACGCTGGAAAGAACTGAGCAACGCTGTGCGAAGTTATCAGCGGGCGACGCTAAGCGTAAGCTGGCGGAGAGCACCATCTCACTGTACTACTGTACAGTTTACCTGGAGTTGTTTTGGAAAACATATCAGAGGGTTAGAAACACAAAGAGTCTCAAGCCAACGAAATATACGGAATCACCGACCATGTTTCCCGGTGTGCCCCGCCGTCGCTCGGCGAAGAATAGGGGCAGCAGTTCGCCCTTGCATTCACACCTTCGGCGGACCGAGTCGAAACGGAATGGGCCCAGCACCAGCGAAAGGTGCTGGCAAGCGAGCAACGAGCCCAGGCGGCTGCGGGCCCTAGGATGGCGGCAGCGAAAGCATCGGATACAGCACAACCACGAGAGAGAGACGCGGAGAGCGCCGGGTGGGCGTCGAGGGCAGAAGACAGCCGCAACGGCAGCGGCAACAGCAGCAGTTGCAACAGCAACGGTAGCTATGGCTCGGTCTCACAGTTGGATCCACTTGACCCCCAGGAGGGGCTTAGCAGTGGGCGTGAGGAAGGGAGCAGAGGCGTAGACACCGACGGGATCGTGACGGTCAATGGCGACGGGTACGCGGAAGCCGCCGTTAGTGGAGATTCTGAAAGAGACTGCGGAGAGTCCCACACGCGAGCTGACGGGGTAGCGGCGGCGGAGCAAGACGAGCTCGCGGTTGAAGGAGTTGGTGGATCCGGCCTCGTCGCCGACCATGTTGATGATGAGACCCAGGGAGGTGCTGCGGTGGGCACCGAGGCGGGCGGTTCGACCGGAACTACCGAAAGCGTGAAAACGACGCAACAGGACGCGGATAGCAGACGAGAGGACAAGGCTCGCGACGACAACGTTGGCGGTGCCAAAGGAGACGAAGGTACCAACGAGGCCAAACAAGACACTGGGCTGAGCGTGTTCCCGGGGGCCTTCTTCGACGAGTTGCTCGACATGAGCGATACGGAGAGTCCGGATGATAGCGGCATCAACAGCAGTTGGAAAACGAACGGGCATAACCGAGGCGCCGAAGGTACAGGGTCGTTCCTCGAAGATGACAAGAGCAGCGGCTCCTGTGTCGGCGGTGGTGTCGACTTGGACGGAGCGTCCCGCGGAACGTGTGCCGTTCTTCCGTGGATTGTCAGCCGATTGGGACTTCTGGAACAGGCGAGCCACCCTTTTGACCTATCCGCATGGGGGCGTACATAGCCAGGACATTTATATATATATATATATTTGAATATATTCGCAACGTTCTGCTTCTTCCCACGCCCACAGTGGCAGATGTTTCCGGTCCTGAGTCGTGGCCTCCCTTCTGGATTGTTCGTGCCTCGCTGCGAGAGCTTAGTGAGAAGCGGTTTCCCTTTTTAATTATTCATGTATTCCCCTGGATACTGGATGTGTCATCGGATGATTCTTCTTTGTCTCTCCCCGCCCAACCGTCAGGTGGAGGGATGCTATGAAAGTGAAGCAAAGGCGTTTAAGAAGGCCGTCGAAATCCTCGTGAGTCTGGTTCCTCTTGAGTGCATGTTTCGCTTTTTCTTGCCCAATATTAAGTAGAACGGAAATCTTTTTATTTTCTTTCGCAGAACTAGAATGTTGTTGCCATATCGCGTGTATATCTCTAGTAAATTCAATACCGAAAAACAAGGCTAGCGGGGTTGTCCTTGCTCATAATCCGTTCAATTTTTTCCAGGGCTTTCTTCGCTAATTTCTCCGCGGTAATATTACTGCGGTAAAACCACGGTAATTACCGTTTCCCGTGATCTCGTGTAAAATGAGAATTACCGTTAACGCCCAAACCGTTAACGAGGAAATTCAGTTTTCCCATTGCCGTACAATTTTTTACCGCGCAAAAATCGCACTTCCCGTGCTTTCGAGTTCCCGCGGAGTAGATTAGCGTAAGAACAATAAGATCCCATCTACAGCACAGAAACACCAAGTGCATTCCCTCACTTCACAGTAAAATGACCGCTGCCTCTCTAGGCCAACAGGTGCGAACTTCCGGCCGTAGACCTCTGGAAATGAAGGGTTCGAGCCCCACTTGCTCTTGCCTGATTGACAGATTTGAGTAGTTTAAGTTGTTCATGGGGTGGTGATGTTTTACGTGGGGACCTGTTGCGTGGGGGTTGTTGTCTTATTTTGTTTGTTGAACCGTTGAATTCCACATCGTTTCTCTATGTATGAGGAAGGCGGCGTTTGCTTGTTTCCTGCCCTTTCTGCTGATGGCATAATTACTTGGCGCAGGGCTGGACTTAAGTCGTCGTCTTGAGGCCACGCGAGCATGCCTGCAATGAAGTGGATATTTGCTGTCTGGTTTTCACCCTTCTTTTTATGTGACCGGTTTGGTTGGCGGACGTGATGCTCGGTAATGTGTGGCGCACGTTTGTTGTGCGGTGACCACACGCTTCAGGAACACTTGAAAGCAAGAAAACTAAACAAGGCCCGACGTGCCATGGTGTGGTTTAACTGCACAAAATTTACCGTGGTGACCAGTTACCGTAAAAAATGCACATTTCTGTGCATTACCGTGGTGGCTGGTTACCGTACAAGAAAAATACCGTGGTGACCAGTTACCGTACGGAATGTACCGTGGTGACCAGTTACCTCCCAAACATTACTGTACTGTGCCGTGGTGGCCAGTTACCGCTAAAAAAATACTGTGTTGTACCGTGGTTTCTGGTTAACGCGGGAAATGATGCCGACATGAAAAACCGTTTATGAAGAAAGCCCTGAAATTTTCCACGTAGATGAGAACATTCAGAATCGAACCCATTCGCGTCGCGCGTTCAATCTTTAGACTTGTGCGTCTGCCAGTGTGCCCTTCCTTGTCAACTTCCACGCGCCTGCCGGCATTCGGTGTGACCGACTTACCCCCAAGAGACCATCGGCGTGACACACAACCTTTTGATAGGAGGGGAAGGAGGCGGCTCTGTCGAGCACGCACATGTCTGGGCCGCTTCTCAACCAAGATTCCGAAGAGCAAGAACAATCGGTCCCAGCTCGACCGCCAGAGCAGCAACACCCGGCAAACCCTCTCGACGACAACCGGGCGTGCATTGTTCCGCTCTATCGATGGATCTCTCTCGGCGACGGCGGGATAAGTGCTGCTGAGGCTGCAATCGGAAGCCGATCCATATCGGGTAACTTCTTCCACAACCCCTAGATCACACTAGTCCCATCCGATGTGACCCTTGGAAACGTTTAGAGGCTGCCCCTCTCGTGGGGCCACTGGCAGCGCATTGAGACGTTGGGGAAGAGTGCGTTGAACAAGATGCTCAAAGAAAGCGTTGCGAGTCAGAAAGGTTTTCGTAGACGAACCATGCTACTGCGGGATGCCTTGCAATGCTGTGCACAGCATTCGGAACCTATCTTGATTAGCCCGCGTGGGATTCGCAACATCGTAGGAATCGCTCGCAATACGGCCTGCGTTCTGTGCTGCAAGTGAGGAAATGCCGTAGTTGCCAGAAAGCCACCCGCCAACGTTTCCACGTTCTGGCCTTGTTCACACCCATTTGGCATGCTCAGACCCTTCCGAGTGGAGAAGAGCCGGCGTGGATCCCTTCTCTGTCTGGGCCGAGCAGCGCGCTCGAAGTCTACGGAAAAATCTGTACAACCTTCTGAGAGCAGCGGGGCCCAGGTAACATCGTTTTGGAAGCCCCACTCGGTTTCGACAGTCAAGTTCAGCAAGTTCGACGACGATGAAGACGTTCATCAGAACAGAGAGTTGACACAAACCAGATGCCTACCCCACCCCACTTTTCGGGAAGATTGGCCAGCGAACCCGGCTACTTTTGCCAACGCCCTATACACCAAGTGATGATTTGGAGGCTATGATTGCTGCTCAATCAGTACAAGTAGCCTCGTTAGATGTCATCCGAATTTATTTTTTGACCTCGGGAAACTTCAAGTTGGTTCCGGTTTCGGCCCGGAAGACTGACTGTGTGTTCGATGCTCTTCACTTTAGCAGCGGTATGTGTCGTTTCCCTCTTTGCTGCCAAACCCAGGGAGATCCGAAGTCGGTGCGGGTTCGCCACGGCGGAGGACGGTGAGGGGAGAAGCAAGAGAGGAAAGAGATCGGGGAGGTTTATTGAGGGCGGCGATGGCGGTGGCGATGGTGGTGGCTCAGTGGGCGGCGGGGTCGGGGGTAGAGACTTCCGGAGCCTCGGGCGAAAGAAAGCGGAGAAGGAAGCAGTACAATCTGCCCGCACCGCTATTTTGCGACAAAACCAAAGGGTGCGTGCTCAAGTCAGGACATGATGACTCACACATGCGTTCGAAACCGTCTTGGAAACGACACCACTTCGCGAGTTTTAGTCGAAAGGCTCAAATATACTCATGTTTAAGTCATTTTTTTTGTCCAGCGTGTTTCCGGGATGTGGTGATGGTACGTACTTCTATTATTTTTGGTTCTCTCTTTTCGCACGTTTCCCCTCTCCCCGCATCGTCACGGGCCTGCGTTTCATTCGCAGTTCGTGAAGCATGTGTTGGAGCTTGGGCAGTACCCACCGATCTCATGTGCTTGTTCCCTCTGTTCAAAACAAAAAAAAATAATGGCAGTTGATCCAGACGGAGACAAACGTCAGGCGCCGACTGAGAAAACATTCTACCATAGATACCTCCATTGCCAGGCAGCAGCAGCAGCTGCAGCAGCAGCCGACACAACCACATGCACAGCATGCAAATGCTAGTAAGAAGGAGAGTGGCAGCATAGGAAACTCCAGATTGCAGGCAAGACAAGGAACATTGGAAGATTCTGGGTCAGTCGAAGGGGCGGCAAGACGACTTGGGTTAGGAGGCGCCCAAGGGGGAGGGGCCGATGGCGGGCCAGCAAGCAAGGAGCTGCGCCACAAGCTCCGAGTCCAGATGAATATCGAGCGGAAACGAGCACTCCTTTTCGAGGACATCCAGAAGCTCCCTTACATGTGAGAGGATCCAAGCTGTCAACGCGTTGTTCGCCCTGATCGTGCGTTGCGGGAATACCACGAAAGTGGTTGGTGCACATGCAGCTCTGTTGGACACCGTTGTCAAAACGGAGAGCTGCGTCTAGATTGAAATGACCGAGTGCTTGGGTTTTGCAGGGTTTTATGTGTATGGGGGCGAGCATTGGGGATAGCCCACTATGGCGAAAGTACTATTCTGAATCGGACCGTTCCTACGGAAGGAGTAAGCGGTACAAACTTCACCGTTTCGCCTTACCCAGCACGCCCCTTTGCCCCCCCCGCTTTCAACAGTGGAAAAATACAGGGCATCAACAGCACCAAGGGTAGCAATATCAGTGGTAGGAACGCTGGTCGGTTCCCTGAAAGCCGAAATACACGATCCATCGGAGAAAGCCCCCAGAAAACCAAGGTCATCGGTAGCAGCCCGCCCGCTATTGTCCTCCGAGCGCCGAAGGTGCAGGCTCAGACACGCCTCCATGGGAAACCAGCGTCCTCGTTCTTCGCGCGGGCAAACGCTGCGGCCGGCGCGGCGCTGGCCGTGAAAGCGGCCGCGGGGGCGCTCGACGGAGACCGCTCCCGATCTTCTCCTTCCACATGTTCTTGTTGCTCGTCTTCGCTTCCATCGCCGCGACCCTCTCGGATCGAGCAGCAGGGGGGCTTGAAGGTTACAGCGCTGGCAGACACAGGAGCTGTCCCTCACCAAGCCCAGACAGGAACAAACGCCAACACGAGCGTGGCGAGTCCCGCGAGCGCCGAATGCGCTGCGAACAACGTAGGCGCTTTCACGAGAGCGTGGGGGAGCTACGTCTCAAACGCCAGCGACGAACAGAACACCGCCGCCGACAGCGGATCGCTTCTGGGAGCAACAATATTCTCGGTCAACAATGAGGATGGCAAGACGTACGCACGCAGCAGCAACAGCAGCAAGCCGCGCGCTACGAGATCCGCGACGGCGTTGCGCGGCAACGCAAACTCGGCAGGCTCAAGAGGCGCCAGTCGCCAAGCGTTGAGAGGAGCGGACGGTTGGAGCACGACTAGGGTACCGCCAGGAGTGTGCAGCCTAGACGGCGAGCTCATGCTGCTCGATGGAATCCTGCACGACCGTAAGGTCAGGACTTGGGTGGAGACGACCTTGGTGCCTCCGAGGAAACGTCACCATCACGTTCACGTGTAGCTAAGCCAAGTCGAAATCTTTTGATATGTAGTGGACATGACTAATGACCGCCGCAATAAAGGGGTGGATTTCGGTGGCCTCGCATTAGGACAAGAGTGCACGGATGTGCGGGTTGGACTGGAAAACGCCGCGCTGTGTGAATCTCGAGTGTTGTCCTTAATAAATATGTCGCTGTCTGGGTTGTCAATTGAGGTACCGGGGTCTTTTGCCCCACTCTCTTCCATGGAAGGGGAAAGGGGATGAGGGCTAAGGATAGTTGCATTTTCTCGATCAGTTTTTACGGTGGGATTTGCTTCGCCGGTTAAGCAGAGGGTTGAAAGGTAGGTGGCACAACAAATCATCTTAATATTGAAGCGCGTTGCTCGTGCCCGTGAGCACGAGATTGGAAGTTAGAAATATGCCGAAACCAAATCGATGCATGCGTACATAGTACGTCGACGGGTATGTTTGCGCGAGAGCATCATACCTATCCCAGAAGAATTAGAACTTGCATCGACGTTAGCACCGTTGACGAGGGAAAGGGACGGCTGGGCACTTCTCGCGAAAAAAATAAAATTCAGCACGCACTGCAAGAGGAACGTGGGGCATGAAAAGACAAACAAAAAGAAGAGACAAAGCCCTGGTGTTTACCCCCTCCTGTGTGACCCTGGCTGGTAGTACATGTCTCAAAAATGGGGAACTGTCGCCATAACAAATTGGACCAAAATAAAAAAAAACTAAGCCCAAGACAGGCCTTAAATCATCAAGTTTCAACGTGTCAAAGCCCTCTTTTTCGTTTGGGAGGGAGGCCCTCCGGTATTCCGAAAAGCAGCCTACCGCCATGGGCTAAAGCCCCCAAAGTGAGCACAGCTGAGCTTTTGATACCAATACCAAATCGTGGATCGCAATTGTTTTCAACGATAAGCGGCGCGCGCCTGACACCGCCGTCGCGATACGTTTTAACCCACAAGGTAATAGGCACCGACTTATGTCAGCGTATCGGGCCGGCACTGTACGATACATCCTTTCCGCGTACACCGTTGACACGCGCAAGTTGCGTGGACGGGGCAACCGTGCCTGAAGCAACCCCGCGCTCTCCCGGAATAGAGTTTCCACCGCGCAAGAAAATCATGCCTCGCTGTGAACATGCTGGGAAAATCCCCCATGCGAGAGCAGCACGATCACATCCCTCCTCGACAAACAGCGACAACAAGGTTGTTTATGTACCGCACCAAAGCTCTAGACTGTTATCGTGGGCGACCTTCCTTCCCTATTGGGTCGTTGCGTTTGTCGCCTGGCCTGCCGGTGTTGTTGTCGCAACCCCCCCGGAAGACCGGGCTTTCCGCTGCGAACTAAGCTTGCGGACGGCGTAGCGAGTCGGCCGTTTGCTGAGTTTGAACTCGCCGTGAAACGCCTCCTGTGTATTCCGTGTTTGATCACAATCCACCATCAATCACCCGTAGTCCGTTGTTATTCGGCAACCGGCGGGTGGAGCGAAGGGCAGCATGGGAGGAACAGGGGCGCAGTCAGATAATTTATTTTTCGTTGTCGTTGCGGGAGGGGGGACACCAAGTCGATTGCCTCGTCCCGAGAAACCAAAGCGCGGAAACGTTTACGACGTGGTTCTAAGGCCCACGGATGTTCAAGCAACGTTTGACTCCTTCTAATCTGGCCTACTTGCTCCCGATACGGTTGCGGCAGCCACCGGCCACAAAGCGTTTTTTGTTCTACCTCGAAGGCCCCGGAGGAGGAGGAGGAGGAGGAGGAGGAGGAGGAGGAGGAGGTACTGTCAAGAGGCATCTCAATGCGAAGACTCTATAACGCCCAGATGTGAAACAAAAAGTGAAAAGAGTGCTTTTTCACGGATTATTCCGGCTTCTGCAACCCTGCTTCAAGTACCCACCTGCACCTATCATACTTGCAAGTGTACAATACGCGTGATGAAGCCACTTCAAAATGTTGTGGACTTTGACAACATCAACAGAGCCGATGATGGTGTGCGTTTTCCCTGCGTACCTCAAGCCTAGAAAAAACGTTTGAAATCGGTTTGGCGTCATTTGGGGTGCAACCTCTCGTCATCTTACCAAGCCAAACTTGCCTGCATGAGGTTGAAGAACGTCCCTTCCAGCGCGGCCGCCACTATCTGTTGAGTGTCGTGGTCCTGGGCAGCTGTGTCAGCAAGGCCCAGAAGTCGTTGTCTCGCCTTCTCTTCCGTCGCTTGCACTGCCTGTAGCCGCCGAGCCTGGTCGGAGAATTGAAGTTTCCCTTAGTTGAGATCATCACGTGGGATGACAGAGGTATTTTCATTACAGCACACTCCTCATGGTCATGTCATGTTAGCCGTGGCGGCCACAGGCGGTGGTGGTTTAGTGTTTTTACTGTTACAGTAGAGACACTTTTTGTTGGTGTTTCCAAGAAAAACAATTTGGTGTGGTGCTACGGTAACATCACTCAGTAGGTACCTGTGCCTGGATTGTTGTTGCCATCTTGCTCTCGTGAGTGTGACTATTGTCCATCGCGTTGCCGGCTGTCTTTGTGGGCAGAGGGGAATGATCTCTCTCTTTCGCTTTCCCCTCCTCCATTTTCTCATCAAGGGAGTTTGTATTCTTGGTTTCCGCAGCGACATGAGAGATTTCGGGTAAAGGTTTTCGAACCTCGGCCTCAAGGCTCTCTCTCTGATCTAGCCAGGTCTCGATACGGCCGACCGCGGCACTATCAACCGCAGCCAGGAGGCCCTGGAGAGTCACCACAGGGCCCGAGGAAGCCTGCCGAAGCGGGAGAGTGAAAACATAACACGGTCGATTTTCGGCGGCAGGTAGGTTTCAATCGAGAGTCGTAACATGCTGTATCCATGTATCATTAGAGTGATATTGATGTCGTGCCAAGAGCAACCAAAGAGTCTTTTTTCAGGCTGCCTTGAGCACCGGGGATAACTACACTTTTGAGTGCCTGCAAGTTATACCTCTTTTACGGAGCTGCCTCCGCGTACTATCGGTAAGACGCGTACTCAGACAGTGTCTGATTGCTGATCACGAGACCCCCCGACCCCCCCTCTTCCCCTGCCGCCATTCTTAATAGTGTCCCTCCGGTTCCCAACAGCTCGTTGGTGCGAGCTAGCTATCATTCCCCACAAAAATCCCGTTGGAACGACCTTACGTGCGGGATGGCACTCTTTCACCACAACCTTCCACCGGTTCCCCACTTTTGAACGATGCGCGCCTGATTGCTTTTCTCGGACAGCTACATGCAGTCAGTGTTAACCGAGCTCACCTCGACACTAACTGCCAGTGGTCTCGCCGCCAGCAACTACACTGTGGACATCATCTAGCACGACAAGGCATCTCATCTCACCTCAATTGCGACGAGGAACCCCGCAAGCGGCTCCTTCTTTCTGGAGTGGCCCACAACTTTTGCCCCCTTCTTCCGCGCCGGCGGCGCCTTCACGCCGACCCCGACGGCCCGCAGTGCCGCGAGCAGTTCTTCCTTGGTGAGGGGCGTGTTGGAGTTCACCCTGACACCCGCGCCAGCGGGGGTGTCGTCGTGGCCACTGCCGTCTTCAGTCCTACGAGGAGCAGTGGAAGCGGCGTCACGGTCTACACTCGCTGCAGGTGCGCTGCTGACGGCGGCTGCTGCCGGGGTCAGCAGCGGCCGCCGGGTAGCTCTTGCCGTCCCAGAAGCGGAGGAGGAAGATCGCAGGTGCGGGGCTAGGGCTGCGGCGACACGGTCGGGCAGGGATGGCGCGCTCCGTATCTGGTCCAGTTGTTGCAACGTGGTGGATGCGCGCGGACCGGGAGAGAGCGAGGGAAGTGGGCGGGTGGACGTGTGTGTTGTAAGACTCGCCCATCTTGGGTACTTGAGGGGTGTGTGAGGGCCACGCAGCTTGTCTGGAAGACGTTTGCGATATCCCAATAAGAAGTGACAGGGGTTCGGTATGGCGAGATGCAAGGCTCCTTCAAAGAATTATGTGGTGCTAACACCCATCCTGCCAGTCGCGATTCAGCCTGGACCTTGCGCAGCACCAGCACCGGAGCTTCTGGGTAGAAGAGAACACACAGATTTTCATTGCAAACAAAACAACAATTAATACACCTCTCTGCTACTGAAACCACAGTTAGCTGCCCTTCCACCACCGGGAAGAAAATGAATCAAAAGCACGACAACACCCCGCGACCAAAGGCGGTATTGCCACTCACCTCCGTGAACGTCGGCACCCTCGGGCGGGCCGGCAGGCTTTTCAGGCATTCCCGGGTCCCGTTCGAAGCCACGACATCCCTCATCAGGCGCTCCAATATCCGAGAAGCTACGCTGCCGACCAAGGGGTCCTCGGAAGCTCGTTTCAGCAATGCCGTCTGGTGTTGTGAGGTGTTTAGGCAATAGAACCGACGGGTCTAAGTGGGTGTTGACGTTATGGCACAGGTCGACATTTCCACGTGTAATTAGGCACCCCTTTACCGTGGTTGAGCTGCACCGGTTGGTTTTGAGGCCAGGTAACGAGCACCAGAACACACAGCCCCACTGACTGATTGCGCGGTTGGGTCGAACGAACAGGATGGTGAGCTCTATCCCAGGAATCGTTTCTCCATTATAGTGAATGACGGGGGGGCGAACAAGTCCAAGTCAACTCGCTCGGGTAGAATCATGGACGAACAGAGAAGGTCGCTGGCTGGCACCCCACGTTGGTCGTCCTTTGGTATGTCTGCGGTCCCATTCGAAGAGTTTCCGCTCGAGGCCCGATGCACCTGCCACGCCACTGCTTACTGGTACACGTGTACAATTGTTTATGTGCCCAGAGCAGCCCAGATTGTTCACCACAAGCCGGACTCAGATCGAGTCTTCACGTGCCGAGAGTAGCGCGGGTGCGATAAATCAAGGCATACATCAGATCACCAAACGTCACCCACGCTACACGATGTAGTCGTGTCAGGGAATTCGCACGAGTACGTAGCCCCCGTCTTTTGCCACGAAAACCTACCTTATCGTTCCCGCCCTTTTCCGTTCTTGCCAAAGACCCCCAGATCTTGACTTTCCCGCCTTCCTTGTGACCTGCCCCAAACGCCGCCCAATCCGGCACATATCTAGATGGCCCGGGTACGACGAAAGCGTCCACCCTCCCACCATTGATGTTTGTGCCGCTGCTGATGTCGCTGATAGGGTTCCCGACACCGCCCCCCCCCTGCCCCGAAGATGTTGATGTTCTCGCTGATGTTACTGCAGCGCGAGGGTCCGATCTCCCAGAGTCGTCCTGGTTGATTTCTCCTCGTTCGCCGTAGAGCGCGTGGAACGTCTCCATGCATACTACCTGCCGGTCCGTCGCATTGGGAGGTGAGGAGGGTTTAGGGGCAGTCTTGCTTGCGAGAGCGGTTCGACGTGAGGTAACACCAGCGCGGAACGGAAAGGCTAGTTCAACCTCCTTTGCACATAATGGCTCGTTTGTAATCCCATGCGACGAGGTGTCCCATTTCATTAACATGTTCAGTAACGGGCTCTGGCCTTTACGACCAAGATGTCCCAAGCTGAGGATGGGAGCCATGGAGGTTAGCCCCTGATGAAAAACAAATCTTCCCTGTTTGCGAAAATAGTGTGCTCTAGGGGATTACAACGGCGCACTTCGCTTGGAAACAGAGCAGCTGCCCATCAGTTTCCTCGAGCCACATCCACGCGTCCGCACCAACACACCTCTCCCTCCACGTCCAGTCGAAGGAGAACGGCGCCTCCCCCGCTGGTCCCCGGCCTGCCCCCCCCATGACTGCTGAAGCGGTCCGTTCCCCCTCCGGCGCTATTTGCGAGGCTAAGCGCGGGGCCTGGCGCGTGGTTAGTCTGACCGGAAGCAGTAATGCCTCTCCCTCCTGGGCCTGGTTGCAATCCGGTAGTTGACGTAACTCCTCCGGAGGTGTTGTTGATGCCTTTCCACACGTGCGAACGGGAGGTAGGGGGACGAAAGTCAGCTTTCGTGGGGTTCGACGTGGTTAGCAACGAATTACTTCTGATAGCAATTCACCCCAGTTTCGTCCCCTCGCTGGGTCGCTCTAACACACGGGCTAGACCAGGCACATTGACCTTGCTCCCATACGGTCAGACCAAGCGGGCCCGATGTCAGACAGATCACGAGCACTGAGTGTGGCCGATCGGTTCGCGAGTTTCATGTTGTGGGAATTTGCGTGAGAGGAGTAAGTAGCTCAACATTTGGAAGCGTGGTCGGGCAACCTGAGATACATCCAAGGCAGAATCCATTTTCGGACACTTGAACAATGGTACTCCAGATGGAAGATGGGTCTAACACACCTCAGTCAGGCCAGACAATCTCTGCAAAGGACGGACATAGAGAGCAAGCAGTGGAGTGCGCAGAGTTCGAACCGACACCTCTTTGAATGAATGTGTCTCGTACGACAACGGCTCGTTAATTGCTCGCGTGAAGTCCCACAGCCACCCATCAACATCCTTGCATGATACACGCATCTCTCTCTCTCTCTTTCTCTCTCTCTCTCTCTCTCTCTCTCTCTCGTTCTTTCGGATTTCATATATCCTCAGCCACAGTCCTCCATGAGGTTCCCTAGAAAGTCACCATCCCATTCTCGTACTAATCAACCCCTCACCGCGTGACCCCATCACCCCAACATGCACACAAGTACCTTTGCCGGTCCCCCCGGGTTGAGTTCTCGCAACGCTGCCACCGTCCCTCCGTCCGTCCACCTTCCCTTCTTCGTCCCCCTCTTCCCCGCCATAGCCACCATCGCGTGGCAGCTCTCCTCCCATGCCCGGACCGTTGCCGGTACCCTGTTCGAGCGCCTCAGCCAGCACCCTGGGCACCGGGGCGTCCACGGTGGACGTCGGGTACGCCGGGCACAGGACTCGGCCGTGGTCATCGCTGCGGCTGTGCCTCGTCGACAGGGTCTTGGCGATCTCGGCCATGTGCTGAGAGCGCGCGGCGGTCGGGCGGGACACCACCGGCACGCGAGGCTCGGGCGCCCGGGCACGGGCCTGCCTTTCCTCCTCCATGCGGCTCTCCAGCCGAGACTTGGGCCTTCTGGAACGAATCGCCTGGGGTACAGGAGGATGGGCGCGTGTCAGAGACGGGGAAGGGAGGCGATTTTATGGGTCTGGTGGCTTATCACGGCCCCGCCCTCGTAGACTCCGATAGTTCGACACGAAATCCGATATGTCGAATGAATGCCTTCACTAAACCCCCTCGCTTCTTTCCAGTATCCATCGCAGATCGCCGAGCCCGTCGTAGAGCGGGTCAAAAATAGTGCGGATAAAATAGAAAATTCGATACTTCTGCCATATCCCCATCCAACCACGTCTCCCGCCAACAAATGTTGCCATTTGACCTCTCTCTCACCGTAGTTGGTGGCTCCTGGCACACGACACACGCCACGGGTCGCTGCCCCAGAAATCTCGGCCCACACCCCGCGGAAATGGTAACCTGAAACAGCACAGACTGCGCCGCGTCTATTCTCCCTTTGGAGGGTTGGATGGACACCACCCCAGCGGTTAGCAGGGGGTTTTCGATGCCCGTGTCTTCAGGGTCCCAAGAAAATTCTACCGCCTGCACATAGCGGAGGTGGCGGTAAACACATGTAAGGCAGGCACTCATCGGCGTGGCGTCTTACCTCACGCCGTGTCGTGGGTATCGGGAGGGAGAGAGAGAGAGAGAGAGAGAGAGAGAGAGAGAGAGAGAGAAAGTTCCCCCAACAAAACTCGACAGATCAGCTAGAAAAGTAACAAAGGAAAGGCTGAGACCCGAATAAAATACCACCAAGGGACTCAGTAGCAGGACTACGAACAGGGAGAAGAGTCGGACAGAAATGTTGACGTCAAACTTGAGCACAAACAGCACTCACCGACTTCAACAGGCAGTTCCTCATGGAGATGATTCTGGACAGAATTGCCCCCTGCGGAATCCGTCCCAAGCGAAGCCTTTCCGCCCCCAAGATACAGGGCTGCCCTGACGGAACCTCTAATTGGCGTGCGGGGTGCACCAAGCCGAGGTCTACCGCTGGCAGGATCTCGCTGACGGTAGGGGGTTATCAGGGGGAGGGCATCGGTGCCACAGAGGTTAGACTAGAGAGTCTAAAGTCAGTCGGTTGTGCAAATCGTTTGGTCGGAGCCTGACTGTGACAAGTGGTCTTGATGAGCTCTTGAGCACTGCCCTCTTTCGTACCACGGTAGTTTTTCGTTTTGGTGGTTTCACCATTGTCTCTTCGTAGCAACACGGGCCTGGCCAGAGTTTTGTTTTTCTCCCTTACGGAAGTTGCGTGCTTTTTGGACGTCCGTTCAAACATCACTTGCAGACACCTCCTTCGTGATGATACACATCAACCGGATGCACACTGAAGTCTTTCGGTTTGATGTACTTCTCCGAAACTCTGATGGTGTTTACGAGGATAATGTTTTGGGTCGTAGTGCCTTGTTTGTGTCGAGCAAATGGGCTTCAAAACCGGTATGGAATGAGATGAAATATTGCTAACTGTTGTCAGAGCGACAACGATCATTTCTGGACAACACGCTCTATCATCCCCAGCTGGGCTATTCACATCTATGATGCAGGGGCCCTTTGGAAGGAATGGGCACTTTGCTGAACAGCAATAGCAATCGACATCTTCAACTATGATGCTGAATATCGCCCGCGGGCAGGCCTGTCTCCGAAATTCGACGTGCAAGGGGGTTTCGAAACCGTCGTCGGCTAAAGTCCAGGCCCTGGGACATGCATTTGTTGCTCGTCCTCAGCGATCCGCGTGTCAGAATCATGACTAGAGGCGCCGTGATACTGGATTGAGTTCGCACGTCGTCGACGTTCTTGTTGATGCTGGCTGTTGTCGTTGCTGCTCCCGGCCCCTCGAAACAAAGCAACCCCGCCCCATCATTGGCCTATGCCAGCCTATAAACTCAGGACAAAACCGGCCTCTATGAAAGTAGCACTCGTGAGTGTCTCAAGCTATTGATCCATCTAGATCACGCGAAAGTACTTTGATACGAACAACAGCGGTGTGGCGAAGGAACCTTTTTTCTCGTCCCCTTAGCGAAACTGACCTGTGCGGGTCACGCATCCTCGGGTCATAGCCAGCACCCCTGAGAGTGATTTCAAGCATCTGCTCCTCAGGTCCTTCCCCGAACCGTTCGCCAAACCGCTCGTCGTGTTGCTGTTGTTCCACGGTGCGTACGGTCACCCTAAGAACGTATTCCTTGGCTTCTAGAGGCAAGAATCGCCAACGAAGGAAAGCCGAGCGGCCTCCGGCAATAGATCCGGTTTTCTCCTCCAGCCTGAACACCTGTGTCGGGGTTTGGTTGACGATATGGCATTCGTCCATCGACCTCGACGACAGAGAAGCACCGAGGAATTGTCGTCCTTTCACCGATGAAGTGGCTACGTCTACTTGTCAGTTTAGGTTGCGCCCCAAACACGAAATGCGAATGGCCGACGGACCAAGACAATCGCGACGGTTCCTTCAGCCGGACGAACAACCTGGTCTCTGGGCAGCTTGTGTAGCGATACGTTTGGTATCCTTGTACTCTTCCGTTTGATGTGGATATATTGGCACATGGTAGTTATCTTTGTTACGCTACTTTGTTCAACAATAGTCATCACGTTCAAGTAATTGTTTCGCTCATTCCATTGTTTGACTCTCGTCAATAGTCATTGATATTCGATGAGCGTTAACATACGCGGTCCATGGTATGGCCCTACTACCGTAGTTTCGAATGGTGGTATCGTTGTTCTCCAGGTTGGACTCAACAAGCTTGAAGATGTTAACATTGCTCATGAGTGGACCACGCAAGCCAGAAACCTTCAAAGAAAGCACCGACCACGACGTTCTCACAGGCATGCCGTGGCCCTGGGAATTGTTGGCCCGCTTGATGCCACTGCTGTCCACTTTGTACGAGACCGCTGTCTCGCCCACGTTGAGGAGCTCCGTCGTTTGCAGCGGTGCCTCGCTGAGGGGAGTGCCTATCGCCACCGGCTCGAGCACGTAACTCCTCGGGAGGCCTGTCCACGGAGTTGAGTGTGGTCAAATCATAATTGTTCTTTGGTACAGCCTTCGGCGTGCATCAAAACATGTTCCTCCAAACTAAATGTCACCCGGTAATGTCGGAGCTGTCATGCGCGGAGGAAAACAAAACTTACCGGTTGGCACGTAGAGCGTGGGGGACTGTGGCGGGACAGTGGTGCCCTTCAGATCCAGCCAGAAGTGACGGCCTTCCTTGATACTCACCTGAACCGAGAAAAGTTGAGTCGACGATTAGCGCAAGCACAGCACAAAACACGCCACGAAGCTCTCGAACTACACGAGTTGGCGTTGTGTGCGCAACAAAGGGGGTTGGAATCATGGGTGCCATTGCAAATGCCACAAACACTGTTTCCGATGTGTCACGTAACGTGTAGAACCGAGGTCTCTCTAGCAATGGGTGTGGTCCCGATCTGCTCTTTCCGCAAGTTCTGCCGACATCCTTCCAAGGCACTCCACAGTGTTTACATCTTAGGTTCACTGTGTTACCTCCCCTCCGTTATGGACAAAACAATAACAGTCTCTAAGAACCAAACGGGGGAGGTGGTTGACGCTGTCGGCGGTAGAATTACCAGAACGGGAAGGTCGTGTACACCGCCGTAGGAAAGCGAGTCGGCGCTGTAGGAGATTACCAACGGACGCCCCTCTCCTGCCGACACCTCCACTACTGTCCCCGGGTCCGGTGTCAGGGAGAACGCCTTCAGCCTGTCGATAATCTCGTTTTGCCGAAGCTCCTGCATACGCGCAGGCGATGTCACATGTTGACAGCATATTGACAGATTAGGTGGTACGATGGTGTGGTGGTGCTGCTGTCCTGTTGGTTTGTCGATATGCAAGATGTGGATGACATGCTGTAACCATTGTTGCCTCCCCCCAACGAGGGAAGCCTGTGTCCTCAATGTGAATTAGTGTTTTCTGTCGAGATTTCCGTCTCGACCTCCCAGAATAGTGTTAACACCGGTTGCCGACAACACGAATCAAAACTGAACGTGCCACAGCTCGCAATGTCGCGACCTGCGCCGTTCTGAGTGGCTAGTCGGATACACCCTAGCCCTTTTACCTCTGCCGTAGGTTCCCCTTCGTTGGCCCAGGTTTCCATTTCGACCGGCTTAGCGTTCGGCAATTTTACCGTCACAGAGGTCGGGAGGAACCCCGGGTTGGACACCTGTTCGGTTTCAAGCAGTAGCAGCAGCAGCAGCAGCAGCAGCAGCAGCAACGGGGTTGGATTTATCGGTGACACGGGGCTTCATCGTCATTTCTGCAGGGTTGTATGCGAAGTAGAGGGTTTTGGCAAGGGCACAGACACCACATGGGCTTGGCTGTGGCCACAAGTACTTTTTTGCTGTTCGGCATTGTGTAAGTAAAAGCGACTGGTGCTGAAACGGAAATCTACTCCTGCGCCAACACGTCTGGCGTGTCGGGCGAGAGTGTCTAAACATGACGCAATCCTGAGGTATATGTAACTTAATAGGACTGGGATCGGACTGGCTTTTTCTAGGGAGAAGGACAAGAACAAGAGACAAAGAGCGAGCGAGAGAGACAGTCAGACAGAAGGACGGACAGAGACCGGCGGAGACCGAGGGATAGATAGAAAGCGTGACAAAATGAGGGGGATGCAATTAATCTTCTTCGATGTCTCTGGCTCTGTTTCATTCCCCTGCGGCTTGCGTATCACAAGCAGTCCAGACTAACGCCAGTTTCCATAGGAATATCCAGACCGCACGTTTACTCCTCTCGTTGCTCGCTAGGGCACTCGGCCCTAGAAAACAGTCATCTCCCAGAGTATTCAAAGGAACATGAGAAAGGGACTAACAAATGGACATTCATCGCCCCCGCCTCCCTACAATAATTTGCAAAAGACCCCCATGCAAGTCCACCGGTTACAAGTCAGTTTCGACACGCTCTTCACCTTTGCCGTACTGAGTCACTCACTTCCGGCCAGACATGCTCCGTGAGTGTACTTCATTTGCACTGCACAAACCAATCCCGAACCCGACGTTCACCTGAAGGGTGATCGTGACCGGCCCTTTGCCGATGACAGACGGGATGAAGGGAACATCAAAGCGTGGCAGCTGTGACGTGTCCGGAGAGGATTCCTGCGTATATATAAAGCGATTGGGTTGTGGTTGTTATCGTGGTCGTTGTCTTCGTCGTCGTCGTCGTCGTCGTTTGTTGTGTTTTTGTCCGAAAACTATATCTGCAACCAAAACATCGCTCTATAGAGCAACGGGTTCCGCGCTTGGATGTATGTGTATGTAAGAGCAGCCCGGTGGCTGAACGGCAAACATTTAAAACACAACAGGTCGCACACACAAGCACATTCGCGGATGAAGGGCATGACAACTTCAATTCAAATGGAACGACATGTGCTGCCTACCACGTTTGTTTGTGCCTTGGACTGGTCCTTGTCAAGCTTCATCCGGGCCGGTCGGACCCAGTCACTGGGATTCATACTCTCAGCACTACAACCGACGTTCTCTTTTGGCAAAAGAATTTGCGGTTTCTTTGAGTTTTTCTGTTGGGGTTGACCGCTGTATGCTCGGACCTGCTAGAACATAACCTCCTCTTCTGTGAGCGGACCTGATTGAACATAACCTCCTCTTCTGTGAGCGGCTTGCTAAGCATGGCGTTGATTCTTGACAGAGACAGCGCTGACCACAGATTGCGGATGGACGCCCCCTGCGCGTTTTCCCCGCCCCCCGTCGTCATTCGAACGTCTCGAAACACCACCGTTGGAAAGGATGCCCTGGGATGGAACGCCCGATTTTCATGGACGAGTGAAGGTGGGCGTGTCGCGGGAGCATTTGAACATTGAACACGACGAGTCTCGAGGGCAGACCCTACACGTTTTCCGGTTGTTGGTTGTTCGGTATCTGCATGGGATATCGGGACAGAGGTCTTGCCTTCAACGGAGTCGGGTGAATTTTGGCTCGAGTTTCGTTCAGATGTAACACGCGACGACTGTTGACCGTCAAGACGCCGACAAGAATGAAACGCTACGCCGCACCATATATGAACAGTTTCAGTCGGGAAATAGCGCGTTCATCTCACGACACGATTGACCTCACGTACGTAGTAAATAACCTCTGAACGGGCGTACGCACTACAGGACTAAGGCTTGCCTTCCTTTGACACCACACCGCAGCGGCATCATTCCGCTCATCACCATCGCTGCACTATTGCTCCCCGATTCCTCGTCATTGCTTGGGGCGACCGGTGTGAATGCCGCTGATCCTGTTATTGCTCCCACCTCCTCGAGCCTGGCCGCAGCCACCCGTGCCTTGCGACCCTGTTCTTCCATGTCGGTCTCGAGAGGGGACGGCTCATCATCCCCCGCCTTGTCGACGGTAGAAACCTGTGTCGCACAGTAGAGTTTTGGCGACTTAACCACATGCTGACGGTGAAATAGCAACAATGCCGGACTGCGTTGCTTTCTTGCCACCTCAACTGCTTCGTCTAGCTCAAAGTGCCACACCTGGCAGAGGATGGCGAAGTCGTATTCTCCTTCCGACACAGGTCGAAAGGTCGCAATGGTTCTCGTGCGAGATCTGTGGTCGTCGCGGAACAATAGCGGAACAAGCAAGAATGATCGCAGTGAACGGCCTGGTCGGAAAGCAGCCGTAGTTTTGTGTGTGCATGTCCTCGTTAACGAGCAAGGCCAGGTTAAGCTGGAAATACTGCTTGTGTGTGACCACCCCTCAATGTAGACAGCTGCGGAGATTTCCTCTTTTTGGAATTTCCGACGACCACTGTATGCGCATATTGGTGTAGACTACAGTTCAAGCCGGGTTCAACAGGTCAAGTGCAAGCGGTTGTATCACCCACTATTTGTAGTCATTCCTCAATCGTTCCACACGCTAGTGCCTCCTCTTGCCTGGCAGGCAAAGTTCCCTGAGGCCTGTCGACGAAGAAGGCGTGCGTGTTGGGCCCTCCCTGTCCCTTAGCCTCGCCGTTCTCTTTCGGCACGGGACGTAGCTCGCCACCAGGTCCGTTCCCCCGTCCTTCAATATCACTCCCTCCACTGCTACTGCCACGGCTACTGCTTGACCCTAGTGAGGAAATCGAGTATGCATGAGTCCGAGTCCATGGTTGTCAGAAACACAATAGAGGGAATGGCGGGTCTGCTAGGTTCTACAAGCCGGGTGTAAGCACACCTTGTTGAAGGCATGGAAGCGCCGTGGGGGAGGCTCCAATCGTTTTCCCTTTGCACCTCGTACAAGCTGTTGGCCTAGGCGTCGGACTGCAGATACCAATGACGCACCTACCCGCAACAATTTTCTTGCCCACCTTTCGAGGACTGGCGGAGGGGTGGCTCTTTGTTGGCGATGTAGAACAGCTTGTAGTTGACGTCGCACTCGGAGCAGTTCTCCAACACAAGCGCCTTGGACTCCGGGGTGTTCACTTCAGCGTTCATTGTTTGAAGCATTTTTGGTTTAGAAGTAAGCATTTACAACCGAAAAAATCCCTCGTCTCAGTCAATTGTTTCGCAGAGATATGAGCCGAGCAACCGGAGCATACGTGCTTTGCACCATAAATGGATAGGAATTATCGCACTTTGAAACTGTTTGACACGATAGTATTTCCTCCGGCTATGGGAACCCTTTCGTGTTCGTGCGGCTGCGGAAACTGACATGGATTCTTGTTCACACCGTGCGGTTCTTATCTCTGCGAGGTACGTCCACCACATTTGGATACCAGCAGTTCACTAGGCGCTTTCCGGGAAACAGGCAGAGGCAACAACTCACCCAACCTGACGCTGTAGGCCAACGATTCCGGGTGAAACGTCACAGCTCCCTGTTCTCCTTTCCCCAGGACCGTCACGGACGCCCCAGGCTTGAAATCGGCGGGCATGGCCTCCCCCAGCTGCCTACAGTCGGTAAGCACCGGCGTTTCTCCTAAGATAGATCGAACCTGAGGAGTAGAAAAGAAGGGTTGTTCGGGTTCGTTGGCAGGACTGCATGTACGCACATAGTTTTCATTTCCCCGACCAAATTGATTGGATGCAGACGGGGTCTACCGGTGTGAGAGGAGGTAGGTGTATGCAAGTGCGTTTGACAAACGAACGGGACTCCCCCCTTCCTGGATTACGACGAAATTCCTGGAGTCCTCCATCCCAATAAACAATAGCGCAGCAATGGGGCGCAACCAAACCATGCCGTGCTACTACATGACGCCGAGGCCTGCCGGCCCTTGTACCAAAGGGCCTGTGAGGCACGATACCCTGCTCATGCTGACAAGAGAATGGCTTGGAAAAATTCACGCGCGATACACCAATCGCGGAAGGGGCGGTGCAAGCAATTCGTTCATTGCGATACGACACCACCGTCGCTTTGCTTCACAGAATTCGCGTGCCACACTGTCTATGCCTTGAGCACTGCCTGGCTTAGAAAGGAAGCAACTCATTCCAGCAAGACCGAGAGACAACCGATGTCCCCGTAGGTCTCAATCACCTTTATGGGAAGCTTGAATCGGTACCCCTTGGTCTCTCTCGGAGCGAAGACCACCTGGAGTGCCTTGGTTTGGTTGCCAAGAAGAAGACCAGCCATGGGGGATACCCGTACAACTCCCGAGGACCCCTTGGGGGTATCAATCCTGAAGATCGCGGGGATTCTTGATGCGTTTTTGACCTGTACAAACCGAAAGCATTAAGTGCGGCCGTGAGCGTACAGTAGTGCTTTGCATGACGTAAACGTTTCCACGCGTGTCCGCCTCAAGACGATCGGGTGATATTCGCCGTTCAAGGACAGTTGGGGAGGAATCGGCCCCGCCGCATACCCCAGAACGACGCATCATGGCCCCTCGGTAATCTTCAAGATGCACACTACGAATAGTATTGCCGCTTTGAAGGGTGTTCTTCCTAAAACGTTCCGATGCAAACGATATCAATTGCGATGTGGCATCTTTCAGGAACGGCGTTTTTTGACAACCTGTGCAGCACCGAAGACGGAAACCGAACCCAGTTCGGACATCGTTCTATTTGAAACGTCTGAAGCGCACCTGCAAATATCTTGTGGACGGGGGCGGGGGCTCTGTGATCGTGCTAGAAGCCAAAAAGACGACGAACCGTTCGACGTGACCAATACGTAAACACCTTCGGTAAACTATTCTCCCTACCCACCACTCTAGAACAGTCAGTTATTTGTCTGTGACAACCATCACAGTCAAACCTGTACAATTTCACAAATCCAGCTCTACAAACTAACCTACGATACAACGGATTTCTCCGAGCTCACCTTGACGACCCTGGATGAGACGATCCCCACACAGGTGGGCCGCATATAAACGACTGACCCCTCGTCCCTATCCAAAGGCTCCCGGACCCTTGTGCTGCTGCCGCTGCTCGCCCCCACCGATCCCGCAGCGAGCGACCGCGCTTGCTCGTCGTTGCCCGCCTCCCCACCCCCGCCAGACGTCACCTCGACGGCTGGCCAAGCCCCCTGGCCGAACAGGTCCGCTTGTTCGGTGCTTCCGGGATCGTTGTTCAGGACGCATTCTAGGCGGTGGTGGCAGCCGCCTGGACCGGGAGGCGTGAACCGCACCAGGCACAGCTGTCCCAGGTGATTGGAGGAAAGGGAAACCAGAATCCATTTAAGGATGATGAGAAACTCGACACGCGGTACCCGGCGGAATGGGGATCGATGAATGCCATTGAGACATGGTTGGTACGGCGATTCGGACAGGCATGACGCCAGGTTTGTGTCGACTTCAGGGTATATTTCCACTGTTGGCCCATCCTACCCGAAAACAGATGATACTCAGTGGAAGGGTGCCGGGGACGTTCCAGATGAAAGAGACATGACGTTTGTCTCGAGATCAGAAGCAATTCCTAATCCTTGCTCGCAGCAACTACTAGGTGCCGCATTCTGCGCCAAGGGTAACGCATCTCTGGCTATTTTCGCATGTGATTGGCTGCACAACCCAAGCCTACCCGTACGTGTCTCATGTGGCACAGTTGTTGCACAGAAATATGTCGAAGCATTGCTGTACCTGGAAATCCCCGGCCGGGACAAGACCAACGGAAGGCTTGATGGCGAAGACACCACTCGGGTCAGGCTGAAAGTTGAAGCACGCGGGGATATTGCCTTGGTTTGACAATCTGCGACCGAACAGAAGGCGCAAAACCAGCAGCAACCGGTTGTGTGAAGAGCGCATGTTTTGGCCACCCTCTAAAACTCATAAACTGTTTTCAAGTGGTAAATAGCCTGTCTCCACCATACTTCAGCATCGATTGCCTAAGGAGGCGGAAGTGCTTCCCCTTGTTAAACAGGGTTCAATCAGACGTATGTACAGCGGTGACAAGGCTGAAAAGACTACTCGTAAAGGTTATCGGGAAGAGAGATATTCCGGAACCTCGGCACAAATAAGGCGTGGAGAGTTCCTCTTCAATGGCGTTTGGTCCGCTTGCAGTCCAATGATTACCGCTTTGAACTAGGAGGAGAATAAGGAGGAGGCCGCACGAACCCAAAGAGCACTCTGCTACAACGAACACCCAAAATTGCCGATTTTCCAACGCTTAATTTCGAATCAAAGCTGAGGCACAGGGTTCACAAGCCAAGCTTGATCTTCGGTACCTCTTGGCCACCGAACGCCCGTTTGTTCGGCACCCTTCTGCTGGCCCCACCTGATGGTTTGGTAAACGGTGTCCCCGACGTGACACGCTGGGAAGCACAGCTTCTGCCCCGTATGCTGCGTCGAAAGAGAGGCCTTAGCCAAGAACTGCTCCCCAACGAAGGTGTGGCCCAACACGCGCAAGGGTAGGCACCAAGGCGGCTGCTGCGTAGCATCTTTCACCGTCCTGTCGTTGGAGATGGAACCACCGGGGCGGCGGTGGAAAATTGGAGGCAAGGGTCAACACGTCCGCGATTGTGTTGAGAACGGCCGTGGCCAGGAATATGCCGAAGAGACTCGATCCCGATCCCCCACGAGTTGGGTTCCAGATATGTGCACCCTCAAGTGCCCCGAAATGAACACTACCAGGTGCATGGTTGATTGGTGCTCATCCGATAGGACCTGCAATGGATGAATCGAATTTTACTACAGTACGGTCCATTCATGGAATGTTTTACTTTTGAGGGCGATTTCTACTTTCGGCCCAATTGTGAGACCTCGGCCTTGATAGCTCCGACTCCTTGTGAGAGGGTAGAACTGATCAGGGTTGCCGAACCTCCTCGCGTCTATTGCACAGCAAGCCGTACACAGCTGTTCATGCACATCACCTGAAGGTCATTTGGTTTGCGGGGGACACGAACGCCTCGGCCTCCTCGGCAAAGTAGCAGTTGCCCTTGGTTGGGAACACTTCTACTCGGAACGACAGGCTCCCTCGTTCAGGCACGCGAGCCTCCGGCGGTGTCACTTGAAGACCCGCTGGCCCGGCTTCCTTGCCGCCTCCACCTTCCCCCGGCGGCTTCAGGTTCCACACCACGTGCACCTGTCCGTTGAGGAAAGCAATACTTTAGGTATTCCACCGCCGAAAATGAGGAAGTTTATCGTTGCCCCCATTGTTAAGCGCGTCAGGCAATCGTGTTGGCAGGACACAGCCAAATATGGCCTCAGGACCCCTTCAAGAACGTCCGCGGGTTTGGTTTGGATATCAACACTGGAAGCACTCCGATACCGACACAAGTTAACTGTGCAACAACGACGTCGCGCTGGACACCAGATGAAACGCTCAATGAAATTGCACACCTGCAGCACTCAAGGTTGTAATTAATCGCTGTGTCAACGGCGCAGCATGAGCTCTCACAGCGATAAGATACTCCACACAACCCTTGCTGACCTCGGTGTCGGAGTTGTTGGTCAGGGTGATTGTCTCCTGTCCTCCGGCAGAAGAAAAACCGAAGTCGACGTTGGACCGGTCGAGGCACACCCCGTTCATGTAGGCATCTGATCGTGTGGAAATCGAAGGTTCGGTGAGGAGTAGGGTGCAACGAAACACAACGCCACCGGTAACAAACTGTTGCAAAGTAACCACGAGCACGCGACTGAGCTTTACTTTCTTCAGTCACCATCGCAATGGTTTTCTACGCGTCGGAACTAATTTCTTAGAGTCTTGTTCTCCGCGGGGTAAAGTGGGCGCAAATTTCTCCCCGTAAACCATATATATCAACGTTCTGGTACAGTCGAATGGAGTGCACCTGTCGGGTCAATGAAGAAATCAGCCGCGATAGCTGTTTGCACTCGGGTAGCCTCTCCGCTCCTAGTCAGCGGTCTCGGCACGCTGCACCGCTGGAAGGGAAGCGTGCCCTGGGGACCGACGCTGTGAAGGTAACGTTGTGTCGGATGAATATGATGTACCTGTCTTTTCAATGATGGCCTGTGTCGTTTCGTGTCGCCTTGGAGGATAGCACTTTGTGATGTGGTACTCTAACCGCAGGGTCTCGGTCACTTCCCCGTGGCGTGGGGGGCTTTCTGGTTCTGTTACTGCATACAACCCTCCTTCCATGTTGTCGTTCATCGATTGTCGAACACTTCCACATCAGCCTACTTTGACACATAACCTGTGCCGAAGGCTTTGAACATCGTGGACATTAGCGTTGGCTTTTCGCTTTGGTGATGGTGCTAATATATGTTTCAGCGAGAAAAGACCGAACGGAGAAAAGCACAAAACAAACACGCCAGAAATAGGCAAGAAAATCGGTTCGTCCAGATCTTTTGTCCAGGGAGGTTATTAATGCACCCATCTCTCCTTGCAACTCCAACACTGTTGAAAGCGATTGCGGGCCTGAACGTCGAATTGAACTACGTCGTATTCTCCGAATGAAGGTCGAGAGATGTCACGTCAGTTAGTACATAGGCAATCACCTAAGGAGTATGACCAGAACAGTCTTCGATATATTGATTCAGTAATCGGATCATTGTTCACACCTACGGGTTATACATTGAACCTTAAAGGAGTATGGTACATCGGACGATTGTCCTAGAAGATATTCTGGGCATGTGATTTAGATCGGATTTTCGTCTACTACCGTGGTCGGTGCGTTGCAATCGCCGGTGCGTGTGTTCTCTTATATTCAATAAGGCCAAGCACACAGTTCCAACATAGATACGCAGGCAGAATGTCCCGTTTTCAAAATCAAACCCACCCATGTTCTCTGCATCATACACATACAACAACACTCATTGGATGCCGACGCTAGCAAGTCGTCCCAATATCAAACCCACCCACTATATTTCACCATGCACATAAACCAACAACCATGGATGCTGACATTCCCACGGATACTCACTTCGCGAAGAGATCGCTCATTCCCTCGGTTTTCAGCATTTCGTCCAGAGCCTCCGGCGAAAAATTGCCGAGTCCCACGTTCTCCCTTTCCAGCAATTTGCGAACGATTGTTAAGGTTTTGTAAGGACCTGGCATGGTTAGCCTCTATTCCTACTGCAACTGATATCTAGATTAGGTACTTCTTGCTGGAACGTCTACGGCTGGACTGACAGTGTTGGTCAATCTCACTTTGGCCTGACGTGAAGTTATTGCAGCACGCACAGGGTACATTCGCATCTACTCTACGTTGGCGAGACAAGTTCCGGGCCCACAGACTGCAGTCTGTTCCTTCTAGCGATACGCGCTTGACGTTTCGTGCAAGCTCCTGTTTGTTCGAGACCACACCAGCAAACGAAAGCCCTGCACGCTTGTGGATTTGGTGAACCACCTGTTTCGAAAGGCTTGGACGTGAGCATGTCTCAGAGGGGCCGGGCGCTGCTCCTGCACCTCCCCCTTGGCCACGACGTACGCGGTGCCCATGGCGTCGAGCACCAAAGGTTGTTGATTCTCCAGCAGACAGAACACGCGCCTGAAGTAGCAACATCGAGCGGCAAACAGCACCGCGGGAGGCATCAAAACGAGAAATACTGCAAAATTATAGTCGTTTGCATGAAAAATCTACTGTTGGCGTGTTGGGTACTATGGTGATGTCGAGCAACCACCCACAAACAGTACAAACGGTTTGAAGAGTAATTGTTTCATAGACTCTTTGTGCATACTCCTAGGAAAGAAGCAAGCCGCACGGTGGAGAACCACGTGAACAGATGACATTTGAGATACGGCGAGTATTCGTTTGGCACACGGTTTGGTGATGGATGGACCATGTTGAGTCTGTGCCGTTTGGAACCTCCTTTCATCTAAATGTGTTGAAGCACACCTACCTGTAGTAGTTTATTGGCTTGGTGGGTGTAAACGTGAGGGTCACTTGGGCCTCTCCGGGGTGCTCGGATCCGGCGGACGGTATGATTCCCCGCGTGTGGCTGAAGTGGAAGATTGAGCTGTGTCCCTGTTGAAAAAAAGTACGAAAAACGTATTTGTAATACCGGCGAGGCGTAACTTAGGTAGTGAGTGTCACCTGATTCCCTACCACTGAGTAGTCTATGCGCTCTTCCCATATGTGGCCGAACGGTAACATTAGCAACCTGGTCAGCCATACCCTTTTCCCGCTATCCGGATGGTAGACCTCTGTCCGCGTACTAGGATAAAGGGGTTGTCGAGAGAGTGTGACTCTACGAAAGTCACCGAGGGATGTTATTATCATGTATTTTAGTGACATCATCTAGGCATGATGCCAAATATGTCACATCGCTTCTCACTTATTGAGGTATTGAGGTATTCTCTTCTTAGTGAGGTATTCTCTTCGTTGCCGTTTGAACGTGTCCATCGGAGAGCACTCATACTCGCAACCTTTTCGTCAAAATCGTCGCGGCACCTGAATGACGAAACAGTAGCGGCATGGCGTGGAAGACTCGTTGTAGAGGTTGATCACTCGTGTCGTCGTCACACCGACTTTCACTTCGCGGAAGTTCACCGAGTCCGGAACACCGCACCCCCTGGCGAAGGGGTCTTCCTTCTTTTCCAACCGAACAGAACACCCGACTGCCCGGCCTTGGATCCCAACCGCAACCTGAGCGAGAAAGGATACCGTCACGTGATACACTATCGCTCATTTGATAATAACAAGAGGAAGTTCGTGGCATGAGGGGTGGTGGTACTTGTCGGTATGTCTCCACTCCTCTATGGAATATTCCTGTTTGCTGCCAGGAAAGTTGAGGGCCACCCTGGCTTGTGCCGTCTGACTAGCATGATAGCAACTGCTCGGAACGGTGGCTAAGCCATCCGAGTCTCAACGGAGCCACCACGATAAGTCCAAGGCAGGACCCTCTTCGGCAGAACGTCTTCTACGCGAAGGACGAAAACGTCAACCACGGCTATGGGAGATTAGGATAAATGATGGACAGTCACATCCCCTTCTTCTCACACCTTGTTGCCCCCGACGGTGACAACCTCGTAGTGGTCCCTAGAAAAACTGCCCGCTGAGACGGGCGAGTATGTAGCCGTCACCACTACTTCATCCTCCGGCGGTATTACTCCGTCGCAAGGGTGCACCGAAAACACGGCCTCGCGATCCCCCTCCAGCCGACGGATCTGGAAAGGAGACAGACCGTTTTTCCACATGTTACCCTTGATTTTAGCTACATGGAATTCAATCCGGTTTGGATTTCTTGTTGGCAAAGGGTTTTCTGTACCGTACCTATTGGACATGGGTAAAACCCGTCTTCCAGCGCTCGACTTCCGGACAACATTCGTGTGTTGAGTCCAGCGTCGGGAATTGTACCATATGGAAAGACGATGATGACGAAGGCAACCACTACGACGAAAACGACGAAGACGCCCACGGCGAACCATAAGTCAAGTAAGTCAAAGGGGATATCTTACGGAGAATGCTGCTGGTACGACGCTCTGGTTTCTCAAGGTGAAGTCCTTCCGTGGACTTCCCCCGCGCGCATCACTCCCCGCTCCTCCCCCCACTGTGACGATAGTCTGGTCTCCGAAATCTATTTCGTCTTCTGAAGGCACGACGTAGCAGTACTTGCCGACAGCGGATACCTGGGTGTGTGATAAAATGGGTAGAAGAACCGACAACAACATTGGACGGGGTTGCCTGGCCGATGGATAAGAGGCGAATACGGTTCAGAGCTACCACGAAATTGAGCGAAAAGAGAACCAGCTCGTTCAACGCATGCTACGCTGTACGCATCCCTGACTCGTCGATTTCTTCCATATATGCGCCGGCAGAATTATGTTGTGCATGGTTGTTCCGTCTGACCGGCATACCCCCACTGCTGGTTCTCTAAACACACTGGCCCAGACTTGAAGCGGAAGGACCGAACGATTCTGCAACAGAAATTTCTTCTGCCGCTCACCGCGGGCTTTCTACGCGATACGTTAACAACAATTGCGGCTATCGGGCTTGCCTCGTAGCAACAGCCCACCTTCAATTGTCCCACTATCTCCAATCTTTGACCCTACACAGTTCAACCTGAACCGGGAGACTCAATCCTTGATCCAGAAACGGGCACCTTCATATCCATTATGGGCTTGGGCTTGATGGCGTTTACCCCTTGCCCCACCCTCAGCGCCGCCTGGCTCACGAAAACCGAGGCATCGGTGGGCTTGATCGAACACGTCACGGCCTTTGACTCGCCGACAGCTACGACCCCTTCCGATGGGGACATCGTAAACGGCGGGGGAATCGTCCACTGGAATGGCGCAGGCACCTTCCGTTGTTTCGGTTGGGGATACAAGGCGCCGGAAACGTTCATGTTTTTCTCCCGGTCCCGGGTTTTGGGCAGCGCGCCGAACGCGCTCTAAAACTTCATTCGATTACCCTGAAAATGAGATATGGATGTCTTTAGATGGGAATATTTGTTCTCGATGAAAATGTACAGATCAGCTCATATTGTTTATGGTCAAGCGGCAGAGTAAAGAAGACGGCGATACATGAGCGATTCTTTACTCCTGCGTTAAAGAATGGGATGTCGAGGAAATGTACCGAGAGTTGCGTTTGTGTTTGTGTTATTCACCGCCAAACGGCTTTGGGGGTCTTCGCTCACCTCTCCCGTGTTCTCCACGAAAAATACGAGCTCGGACACGTCGTCCGCTTGGCAGTAGCCGAAGTCTAACCCGACGGGGATGCCGACCTGACAAGAACGCCATTTCGGGGAGTAAAAAGGTCTTGATGGTTGTGTCTCTTAAGACCAAAGCAGGCACGGCAGGAAGGGTAGGATATACGAAGGTAAAGGGCATGTTGGTTGTGTCTCTTTAGACCAAAGCAGGGACGGCAAGACGGGTAGGGATGTAGGCCCGAAGCCCCCCTCAGTTTAACGCCCGACGAAAAGGCAGGAAAGCACAAGGTTACTCCAGACTATCCCCTGTGCTGTCCAGCTTCCTCCCACGCTACGATGCCCTAATCATACCTGCAAGGTCGGGAGGAGCGCTCTAACAGGAACGTTGAAACCTCCAGCGTTTGGACCGTCTAGGACCTTGAAGAGGATGACGTCATCGTAGACTTCGCTCGACACTGGCCGGAAAACCACATCCACTTCCTGCTTGCCCCGTACCAAGAAAAGGGAAGTGTATTATCAAGAATCGCCGCTCCTTCTGGCAGAAATCATGAGTGCTGTCTTGGGCCTGCTATTGGAAAAAGCAACGCCGCAAACCAAGGCCTCGTCTTGCTAGCATGTTCCCATCTTAGGGGCAAGCTGTGGTGTATGTCAGATAGAGTATACTTCCTATTGCATATGTGAGAAGAACCTACAGTAGGTCGAACAGGTGCTGGTAGGTTTACGATGGGCTCCTTGGGGCACGGGGCAGGAACCGGTCGGCAGACTACGCCTCTTCATTGAGGTTCACGAGAATGTCGTGCTACGTTCCTCACAATAGACCCAAAACTATAGTAGTTCAATGGAATACAGCTTGGTGACAGCACGGTACGCGGGCTCATGGTAGATGATTACACGCTTGCATCTCATCTACCTTTACCTCAGACCATGCACTTTTAAACCAGCAGGTGATTTTCCTCAGTTCGTATTTCATACTTCTTTTGCAAGACCAAACTGCTGGTTCAATTAAGATTCAGATTAGCATGCACCATGCAAAGTATGCGAGAGTATGACGACCTCAAAACTCGAGGGTTCGGCTGAGGCCATCCTTGCCCTGCTCATCTTCGTGTGCAGCTCATACCTGCATTGTTCCCGGGCTGAGAGTGATAACCTCGGGATAGGCCAGCGAAAAGTACTTGGTCGTTGGTAGGCGGTACTTGAGCTTCTTTAGCTTTGGTGAGACGTTCTTGACTCGAAGTCGTTGCACATACTCGCCGCCCGGGGCCCATTCTCCGCCTTTGAAAACAATGCCATCACCAAATGGCCCCGTGCAATCGATGCCGAAGACCTGGGCGAGATGTTAGAAGCCGATCAAACAACAGCATTGACCTGTGAAAGTGCTACTTGGCGCTTTGGAATTAATCAAGCATAACTCATGTTTCTACATACATCTAGCAATCAAGCATAACTCATGTTTCTACAACATCTAGCAATGGACAGCAGTTTCGCGCTCGCCAATTGCTCCCGAATTTACGTTTCAGGTATAGAACACGAGCGGCAAAACCTTATTTCATTCTGAATATGTTAGCTTTCTATTTAGGACATCAACCCACTGGAGAGCGCACCGCAGAGCGCGCTTTGTTCTGAAACTTTCTTACTCTGTGCGACCCCGCAGAGGAACCACGCCAGGACACCATTTACCATCGAACAAGAGACTACACGCATAGACTAGTCTACTTCACCGGCGCTTGAGCTGCTTGCTGGTATGTCAAGCCCCAGTTCGAAAGACTGTGGAATCCGAATACCCCGCAACTATGAAGTGGATCTTTTCGCTCATGAATACAACGTACAGCAGCATTCTATATCCCAGAATCTCGGAATCATTCATTTGCGAATGTTTGGGAGGAGTAAGATCTATAATGTGAGTGTGAATGGGCTGGACACACGCGATCGTCCCAGAAAAATCATGTGGTAGCCTCCACGAGCACGCATTCTTGCCGAATGCTGCTGTCCAGCGATGGCAAGTCATCTCTTCGTGAGTACAGCAGTAGGGCTTAAATGGTGTTGTATCTGACATTGATTATCTACCTGTATCAACACTGCCGCCGACCGGTCAACATCCTGTCCCGTTCGCAAACAGGACGGAACCTTGGCTTGCGTGGAACACAGAAGCTCACGCCCCCAGAGTTGCGTACCTGTAGGCGGCTCTTCCTCGAGAGCACCTCCCCGGTTTGCCCCAAGCCCCTCGCCCCGCCTACGGTTCCCAAGGTACCGACCTCCGCCGAAGTGCACCCGCTGTCGCCTGGCCAGGGACCGCTTTCGCCGTGTCCACCGACATCATCAGAACCTCTCGGCAGCACCATTTTACCCACCTGGTCTACAGCACGGCAATCGGAGTAGTAGTTTCATACGCCACATGCTCTGACTGGATCTGCCATGCATGTTACTGCGTCCACAGACGCGGGGCCCTCGCCCATCAAGAACTTATTCATGTCGTAAATACGATGTCGAAGGGAAAATAACGAGGAGAACTGAAACGTCTGAACTGAACCTGAACCTGAACCATTTCGCGGATTACTTTTCGGGTGCTGAATGCGGGCTATCATTCTCCTCTGTCCTGCCGCGGTGCGCGATGTGTGAGGTTGATCCCGCCGCACCCTTGAGCCCCTCCGCTGCAAGCTGCAACTGGGCAGAGGCTGGCGAGAGAGAGAGGAGGGAAGTTTGACAGCAAGACTGCTGTCCAACGCTCGCAGCATGTTGTTGGCTAGGCGGAGGCTCCTTCCGAGTGGTCGTGGAAGATTGGCGGCCCCATGTTGCAAGCTGTGGCTGCCGGAACGCCGTGATGCCGAAGCGTCTCATGTGGCCCAAGCGTCACGCGAGATTCGTGCTGCCAGGCACTTGCCGAGGAGGCGCAGCTGCTGCATATTTACTGGCACTGCTGGTGCGTTATCTCACCGGCAGTTAGAATGCGGGTGCGCGTTCTTGAGCAAGGCAAGTGGTGGGGGTTTAAGGTTGTTGCATGGTACCAGCAGAGCTGCCGCGAAGGCGAAGCTAGGGCACGGAGTGAGGACGGAGACACCCGCTATCCCTTCGTTCATCGAGATAAGGTGAGTTTGAGGAGGAGGTTAGCCCATTTATCCTGCTTGTTGTGTGCCTATTCATAGCACAAGTGTAGTGGCCAGCAGACTGCAGATTCTCCCCGCTCGCACACCAGAGCGTGCGTGTGTGTACCCCCACAACACAGGGGACAGGGTTCTCTAGGGAACTCGGGGTATTTCTCTGATTGCCGAAAACGCAGAATATCGTTCCTGGAAACACTTGCGACCCCCAAAGTTCCTCCTTTTCGGTGATCCCGACACGGGATAGTTGTAAGGAGGATTCACTGAAGTTGTCCAACAAATCATGTGGAACACGGGCTCGTCGGTGGCAAATCAGGACGTGGCGGGCGGATGTGTGTGTTCAATTCGGGCATGTCGCTGCCACAGGTGCTGCCTGCGAACGGTTCAAGCGATAGGACATGCCACCATCAGGTTCTCGCATGCGAAAAAACGGCAGCGGATGCTCGTGTGGCCGTTGTATTGGAGAAGAAAGAGTGCCAAGAAGACGGCAAGCTTCCGTTGACCGAAACTCAAGAATCAACCCTTTCCAGAGCACTCTCGAGGGTGCGGATTGCACGACGAGCACAGCTCGCTCTAACTGACACAATGTAGACTATGGGCGCTCTCGTCAATATCTTCAAATCTCACACCACCCCTCTTCCTGCACATCACCCCTATTTCTTCCTCTTTCGGTTGTGTTTGTTGGCTCCGAGTGCCTGCGGGCCGCACGAAATGTTTTGTGTTCCATGTCTGAATATTGTTGCATGCATCACGGTTATGGGACACACGACGTGGAACAGGGACCAGGGAGTTCTGAGTTCCCTGTTCCCTGATCCCTGATCCTTTTTTTGTCTCGAGGGTTAGGGTGGGTCCTGCCACCCGAGAACTCAATCGAGTTGGCTCTACTCGAACGCTCATGGCGATGCATCGAAATCGAAAATGGAAACTAACATCGATGACACAATAAACGCCTGAAAAAGTGTCCGTTGCAATGATTCACACCGTGGCCATGAGAGCCAGGGCATCCCAGACAACGAACGATAGTGCCGGATGTCGGTCATGATCAGGCGGGTTGAAAAATGTTGGTCTCGGATCGGTACGCTGCGCACACACCGAGCAATGTGTGATTGAATACTCTGGTTTGAAGGAGGAAAGCTGGAAGTGATGCCGTTGGCAGAAAATAATCTCCCATTGTAGAGCAAATCTCGCTCAAAGGAAGTATACCGTGCTCTGCTGCATGTCAGCTTTCTGCCATGGTATCGCTTGCATCACCAAGCAGTCTGTAGGTGGCTAGATGGGTAGCGATATGAAGGCATCTCCGGCTTTCAGAGAGTCTGGCAAGCAGCTGACAAGCAACTTGATGTTCCCGTTCACCCTTTCGATGTTCCATTTCGATCTATTCAGTTTATCGCTTTGATTTTTCCATATCGATTCGCTCTCGGAACACAATCTTCCATATCGAAATTCCGGCGGCGGAAAGAGGGTCAGTTGTCCAATCAGTGGCATTTTCGATTTTCGATTTTCGATTTTCGATGGAGCACTGCGGTGACAAGACCCACCCTTAGTACACGCCCTCGCATGGAAACACCTAGCTGTGGGTGGTGACGGAGAACCACCACCCAAACCTCTGATTGGTCGATGGTGCCTGCGCGCGGCCGTCCTATCCTGCAGACTACACCAAGTGGCATGTACGTCACCGTGACCCTCGTGACACCCTATTACTTGAGGGTTGGGGTTGAGGTTAGGGTTGGTTGGATCGGATTGGGTTGGGTTGCTGAGTGTTGAGAGTACCTTTTCTCAGAGTCAGAGTCCCTGAAGTGGTGATTAGCCGTTCACAAGCGGAGGTATTTGCTCTCTTGACATGTGGCGAGGAATAGCCAAGCGTGGCCGAGGTTACTCGGAGGTGCTAGTTTCAAGAAAGGTGGAACTGAGCGAGAGAGGGCCCTCGTGGGCATCGCCACATCTCCGAGATTCACTGGAATGGTCACTGTATTCGATGAATCTTTCTTGAAAAACATCCTCGGAGCAGTAGCATAGGTATTGTCCGTGGTCTCCAGATCTTAACTAGTCGCATGTGCGTCCCTACCCCTAGGAAGATACCTATATCGTGGTTTCGACGGAGTAATAGTTTGGGTGATGATTGTTGGTCACGACCCGTGGGTTGTAGATTGGCGCTCCCCGCTCACACGCCTTTCTCACGGCGTGCGGACCCCAATGTGTTGTTGAGGGTACGTTCTTATTGACAAAAAACGCAACGTTACTTCGCACAATAGGGGGCGACAGGAAGTCGTAGAGGTATACACAGCTTATCTCTGAGATGTATCGGTTTTACATTAGAAACGCCCCGGAGATACCCAGCTTTCTATTCCACGATGTGCAGACGTAAAGGCGACCCAGCCATCCCTACGACGGATGTTCAGACGAATCCTCAACATACAACAGCGTCTTTCACGGTCGGTGAAATGCTGTAAATGTCCCGCACTGACTCCCTGCGCTTTCTTCGGACCTACGGCACGACTTTCTAGGGAGTTGGCGAGCCTCCTGCGGGTCAAACCAAGGGCGCTTTTCAAGTCAATGGGCGGCTATCAGGAGAAGAAAAAGCACAGGATCGCCCTCAGCGGGGTGCCCTACGCGTTTCCAAACCTTGGGAACGTGGTCGTTCCGTTTCAGGTGAAACCGACCCCTCTTTTCGACCTCGGACCTTTGACGCCAAAAGGGGGGTGGTCGTAAAATAACGATTGCTGATATTGCTGCCATGTTGGTGGCGTATTTTCGTAACGCATTGCCGGTTAATACCGCAGTGGAACGTTAAGTACACACCGTTGTCTAGCGGCGGCGCGCTTAGTTGGTCTGGGTCACCTGAATGAACAGCGTGCACTGCACTTCATTGCGCACTGCTGCTGCCGTACAAGCCTTTTGCGCACTCTTCTTTCGAAATGCTGGTTTCTATGTAGTGACTAGTGACGAATGTGTTGACAGTGTAGAATGACGCTGCAAATACATATCGGTGTTAGCATTAGTGGGAAAGGACGCAACAGGGTACTCTGGTCGAAAAGCGACTCGGCTGGGTACTATTCAGCAGCGTGAAATGAACCCAGATGATTGGTCAACGCCCACTTTCACCCCGCCGCGTCCTAGAAAGCGCGGGTGTACCCTGCCGTGGCCTTTTTTCTCCGGCGTTGTGCCGTGATTTCGGAAATGTATCCTGACCTGACGGAAAATGAGACCCTTTCCTCAACCGTTTCCTCCGCAGGAATCCTTTCCTAATCATGGGATACCAAACAGCGACTCTTCCAGCCCAAAAACAACCATGGCACTGGGCAGAAATCAATCAGGACGGAGTTCCTCCCCTGCAATACAACACCAACCATCAACTCTTCCCGCTCAAAACAGGCGATCGCCAGCACACACCAGCACAATTCCGTTTGGGAACGTGCGGGGTGTTACGCGCGTACATATTTGCATACATAGTCCATTTCGTGATGTTTGATGTACATGCTTGGCGTTGGATGTGGACAATATACGGGTATCTTTGTACGCCACTCCTTCCACCGAAGCTCCTTCTCCGCTACCCCCTCTTTCCTGATGGTTGATAAATAACGGCGTGTGTGCGTGCTTGTGTGCTGTGTTCTTGTTCTTAACCCTTTTGGGTCTACAGGCGTCCTGACAGATCATTGATTGATGATTGCAAATGCTGGTGTGGTGGCATGCCATGGAGTTGCCGCCCTAATATCCCTCCACGCCAGGTGTTGGCAAGTCCGTAGGTTTATGCATCGACCGCGCTAGCCGGCTGTCAAATGAAAAGACGTCTGTCTCAGTGCGGTTGAAAACAAAAAGTTCTTCTAAAGGCTATGATCTGGGACCCCGTGAGTGCGTTGTGTTGTGTTGTGTTTTGATCTCAATCGTGGTGTGCGTGTCTCGCTTGAATTATGATCCATCGCGCTTTCCAGCCGACCAATGAATAAGACATCAGGCTCCAGCGGGATGCAAAACAAACGCGCACACTTCTCTCTACCGACAAGGAGGGTGCAGGAGTTGGAGTAAGAGGGTGTTTGCGGACAGGTCTTCGATTCTGGTCTTGGAAATCGGGAGCAAGTTCGAAAGCAAGACCTGCATTTGGTATGAAAACTGCTTGCGAAGACCGGACTGCCTCTCTCTGGTCTTCGTTTTGACTCGTTTCAATAAATAATACAGTGTGACGTCAAGCGCGTGACCATTTGTCCTTTTTTTGTGTGCTCACGCATCGTTCGTTCAGACGTGCCCTGAGGAACCCACGCCCATGCAGCTCTACCAAACTGCGCGTTCAAACAAACCTCTCTCTAATACCGTGAGCCATCGAACTGAACATCTCTATTGAAAGCTTGCTAGTTGGCTCGTTCCTCTGTTGCGCCCAAAGAGTTCGAAAGAGGCACCACACTGACTGCTTGCCGGCTCCTGTGACATTTTTTCTAGGCACACGCCACATCAATCACCCTTTCGATCGCCACGGCACGTTTTGGCTGAACTACCTGCTTCGATATCTGTTTGCTGGTGGTAGGCTGACCCTGAGAGGGGTAGCCTGCTGCGCAACCCGTGAAATTTTATCCTTCCGAGCTTGTGTCTGTTTGTCGTTTGAAAACATTTTTAACCATCATCACAACAGAGAGAGAGCGTGTGTTGCGGGGTACTATGCCAAGGAGGAACATTCGTGTGTGTGTCTGCCACATGTTTGGGCTCCCTCTGGTACACACACACGGTTGTTTGTGTCGATTGCAGTACGCATGAAGCCCACGGGGTATCTCACGGGGCGCTCGGCCAACCAGCAACTGTTCCTAAAGACCAAAATTACCAAGACCAAATTGGAGCTTTCTGCGGTCTTTGGGGGCAGTTCATAAAAGCTAAAGATCAAATTCCTAAAGATCCAGTGTACTTCGGTCGTCGGGGTGATAGAAAAGACCAACATGAAACCAAAATTCGATCTTCGCAAACTCCGTAAGAAGACTCGATGCGTGTGCGCTATTCTTTCATCCCGTCTCTGCGGCCACGAGCTCGCCGCCACCACACCACTGCATATCGGCACATGCATGCATCTCAACCATGCTGGAGCGGTATCGCGTTCTAAGCGTGACCCATGTCTCGCATATTGTCTACCTCACATAGTCTACATACTCTATGTTCGGTTGCTTTCGAAATTGTGCTGGAGTTTACCAGCCTTTGTTTCTTTAGAGCGGGAAGAGTTGATGGTTGGTTCTGTTTTGCACGGGCGGCAGTAGTGCTGATGGCTTGGCCGAACGCAATGGTTGACATGTCGGAATACCATTTCTCGGAACATTCCCTTGGGTAGGTGCAGCTCGTGCACAGGTATTCAGCGTACAGTAGCCTAGCGCTAACCGTAGACAGCAACCTAGCCCTTACCCCCTCCTGCGCCGCGGCTCAGGTTGCATGTAGAGCAACCTAGCGTTTCGCCTGTCCCGCCTTAGGCTCACCCTAGCTTTTCACCGTTCAACAACCTAGCGCTAAGATAATGTGTGTCAAGAACAATGACATGTACATACCTTCCAACGTTTTGGCTCGGTTGAATGCCGCAAACACCCTTCCAAAGTATCGACGATGACCACAACCGCCGCCAATATTGAACCCTGCCTACCAGGACGCGCAAGCAGTGGCGAAGGTCTTAGGCAAAGAAATACGGTTCCTCGACATCGAAAAAAAGCCGCAGCGTGCCGCTATCCTAGCTCGATCCGACGACTCCCGGGCACCTTTGTGGGAAAAAGGGCAACCCGCTGGTCAGGGGCGCAGACCTGTCGTCGTGCTCTTGGGGCACTTCAACCACGGGAAGACGACAATCCTCGACGCGCTTCGAGGGCCCAGCAGTGGCATCGCTGAGTGAGTCTGTAACATTTTCGTCAATGCGGCCCTTGTTCGCGGTCACGCCTTCGATGTAGTGTTTCGAGCTATTCCGTGGCACGGCTACAAGCCACCGGCAACGACGTGGACCTAGCTAGGTTACCCTCGGTACCGCTTCGCCTTCTCTTGTCTCACCCGATGCCAGTACGAAATTGCTCAGTAATTGGTCGACTTTCACACGTCTATCCCTTTTTCAACAGCTGATGTTTCATGTGCAAATTCTCCGAGATTTGTCCGACGATGAACACCCTCGCCCTCAGTACAGGGTGTGGAGGTGGAACAGATGCATGGAGGTCTTGCTTCGTGATACACGTGGGACAAAGTTTGACTTGAGGGTGTGGTGTAGCTGATCAGCATACCAAGAGGTGTTGGCGTCGAATGTATGGCTTCAGTTTTTATTTGCGGTCGTATGTGTCAGACGGAACAATTACCCGATGAGGGCAGAAATGTGATACGATTGGCAGGCCGGAGAGATGTGAGCAAGGCTGATTCACACACGACCCACCAAATATCGTATTGTGTTCCCACAAGGTGTCATGGGGTCTGTGAGCATGCGTTTAATCGTGAGATCGGAAAATCAGCAATGTTTTATTCCGCTTTGTGAAGGCTCGTGATGCAGTCACCAAAGTTCATGAAGTTCGTATTACAAGAAGGTTTCAAAGCATTCCAGTTCTCATGTAGTGGACTTGGCTACGGGGCCAGCTGCTAATTGGGGGAGCAAGTAGCCCCGCCTTGCGAGCGACTGGCTTTGCGTGTGTTTTAAGCGGGCAAGCACATATGTATACATTTACGCAAGGGTGACCTTGACTCCGCACAAAGCAGCGTTGATTGACCCTACCGTACCCTCCTTCACTTGCCAGTCGAGAACCTGGAGGCATCACCCAGGAGATACGAGCGCGCACTGTTTCCCTGGAACCAACGTCGGGGGAGACGGCTCAGGATACGAACGATGACGACGCTGCCGCATCTCCCCGTTCGAGGTCGGCCAAGGTGGCGACGGTTCTTGACACCCCTGGCCAGGAAATATTTTACCGGATGAGAACGAACGGGGCAAGAGTTGCGGACGCAGTGGTTCTGGTTGTTTCAGGTGCAGTTGTGGATATGAGCTCCCTATCACTTCTGGAAGAAAATTTGATGCCGGTGTTCAATTTCGGTACAATTGCATGCCTTTCACAGGCCATCATCGTGGCAACTCACCCGACGAGAGGCACGAGTTCAATGCGGCTTGCATAAACCCGCGCACTCATTTAGAGGGGGGACATGAACTCCTTGTCTTATCAGGCTTGGAACGAAGTACAAGAATGGACACGGCTGTGATTCTTTGGGGAAGAACGGATTGTTGCTTCCTTGTGATGCGGCGGCGGCTTGCTGTAGCTCCCCGGGCCTACACAGGAATGTTTTTAAGACCTTCCCGACGCAGTAAATAACACATGTGCACGCGTAGGTACACGCATCTTTGCTCAGAAATTCCTCATCTCGATGGCCTTGTAGTTGCAATTCGCGCTAATTTCATGTTGGTTTTTGTTTCGGCAGCGGTGGACGGCGTTTGCCTCCAGACGTCGGAGAGCATCGGCTGTGCGGAGGAGCTAGGACTGCCGGCAGTGGTGGTCCTGAACAAGATTGACCTCTTGCCGGACGAGGTGGCGGCACAGGTGTCTATTTTACTACTCTCTGCTCAAAGTCTTGGAGTTGTGCGTTGACCGAATTATTGTCCGATAGCGTGGACACCAATGTCGTGGTATGTGTTTGTGTCGTTCGTTACACCGCGCGTGAGCTGTGTGAGTAGTTTCGCATCAAGTGCGCGAAGAAATAGCGAGGAAATGGCGATGCTGTCCTGAATTTTCCGCAAGTGCAACAGTCGTAGCAGCGTAAGTTTGAGCCTAAGCAGAAGAGTATATTATATTTACTTCGTCTGGGGTTTTAAGACCGACACAATAGCAAAGTGCTACAGGGGGCTGTTCAGCTGTTTTGACCATTTCTCCTTCAATTCGAATCGCGCATCATTTAAACTCGTCGTGCTCGATCTGCCATTAGTTAGCGCATCCATGCGCCATACGCAAGTCAAAGCTCGGTTAGAACAATTCGGGGGTGGTTCAACTGTGCTACCATCTCTCCCTAGAATCGTCATTATTTTGCTCTGTGTACCGCTTCAGGTGCATTCTCTTCAAAAAAGCCCCCATGCGCCGTCATAGCGATAGGGAGGCGTGCTGAACACGCGCCACCATCTACTCCTATGCCCCCGCACTGGCACTCCATCGATGAAACGGCACAACGTGCCGACACCTTTCGCTGCGTTGCTGTGCCGGCCCTCAGAGAGTGAAGGAACTATCGGCAGAAGTGAGAGAGTTCGTAGCCATCCAAGACGCCAAGGTCCTCCCGCTCTCCGCGCACACAGGCTTCGGCCTGGACAACCTCCGAACTAGCCTGGCGGATGCTCTAAGCCAAACCTTCCTCCCTAAGGAACGCGTCCACCCAACGATGGCAGATCCGGAGAATTTCGGGCTACAACCCAGCCACAGCGAAACCTCTCCCGATTTGGGGATTCCTAGGGTTGATCCCGATCCTGCACCACCTGTAGGGCAGGCTGGATCCGAGGTTGCTGTTGCGGCGGGTGTTCACAGTGCCGAAGGAGGCTCGGCAGGGGGAGTCGAAGTCGTCATGGCTGAAGCCCCGGAGGGCGCAGCTACCGGAACTGTGCTTGACTACACTAGTAGCGCCAAGACGGGCAAGGTGTTGGTGAGTAGGATTTTCGTTGTTCGTGTCTTGTTGTTTTGGTTGATGGATGCCTGTTCGAAGCGTATTGATCGACCAACAATGCCCCTCATTTCCTTCCTTTTTTCGTTCTCCTTTGGTTTTTTTGGTTCTACACTTCGGTGTTGCCAGCTGGTACTGGTGGATAGAGGAGTTCTTCAGCCTGGTGATCCATTCGTCTCGGGGATGTTGTGGGGCTTTGTACGCTCAATCTACGACGAGGAGGGCGACGAGCTGCTCGAAAATGCAGGTAGGTGGAAGAGCACCGCTTTGAACGCCCATTTGTACCCCCATCCCCTGGTCAAGCGCGTTTCGAAGTCTGCAACCCTCGAGCTCGTTGTGTGGGTGTTTCAGTCCCCCTGGTGCTCCAATTGCACCTCGTTCTGTTGTTCATTTTTGTTTGCCTTCGCATTCTCACCGCGCAGGCTCACATCATGTTCGCATGGGCAGTTTGTAGCTCGTGCTTTCCTTCCATGTTTCCTTCCATCGGAGAATTTGTTGTGCCGGACGTGGCCTCCATGGCCAGCGGCGGCCCGGTGAAATCGTCGGCCCCTGACTGACTGCTGTACTAAACCGGGCGTGGACCTCGGCTGGAAACGTTCTCTGTTCAGGTTCTGGGGTGGCAGCGAAAGTGGTAATCGTACCTCGAACTCGTGTGTCCAATGCTCCTTTGGGGGAACCGTTTCGGGTCTTGACAAAGGAGGCTGCCGAGAAGGTGCGGTTGTGTATCCTGTCCCAATTGTTTTGCTGTCGTCTTCGGTATTTCTGCTTCGTGACCTGGTCCCCTTTGACCAAACGCCGCAAATGATCGAATATACTCATAACCAGTCGCCCGGGAGGTCTAGTGGTAAGCGTGGTAAACCTGCTAGCAGGTGTGGGTTCGATTGTCTCCGAAGGCGAACTGCCACCTGCCATCCCGGGCTGACTTGGGATTCATTTTCACCGTTGATTTCGTCCGTAGCCCTTGATCCGCGAGTTGAAGAGCTGAAAGATCGGCCATTGTCACAAAACGGAGGGGCCTGAGCGGGGTGCCACCGGAAACCAAGTCCAGACACAAGACGGTGAAGCTGAGGAACCGAGTTGTGTGTTGTGTGCCGTCGCGTAAGCCGCGACGGATGTCACATGGTTGATTTTCCCGATCAACGCGCGGCTTCGGGGTCCATTCCTTAGCCGTGCCCCCGGCATGCGGTCTTGTGCAGTTTTTCCTCCTGCCCCACAAACATTCTAATTGATGGAAGTGCATTGCGTTTGTTCACGGCGTGTCAGGTCGTCTCTGGTGCTCCTTTCCTGCTTGCTTTGATTCTCCCAACTTGGCGCCTCTTTATTTCGCAGGTCGCGATCATTGGTCAAGGGGAGTGCGAAATGTAGTCCCCGTAGGTTTCAAGTTGTTCCTTGGGCTAGAGACGCCTATTTGCCAAAAAAACAATTGCCCATCGAAGAGGGGTCTGCTGGATATGAGCATGCCGTGAGTATGACTCGGCAGAGTGCTTCTCCACGTGGAGCCTCCTTACCGAGTTGCGTCGGTACTGTGCTAGGCTGCAATGCCGCTCGTCGCTCCCATCACGACCTGAGAACGACTGTCGTCACTGTCCCTCTCTTCGCCTTGTTTCTAAGTTTGAAAGACACTGCGTGTGCCGAGTGGATCCCCGTTCTCTCTCCCCGTAAACTGTCCGTCTTGCAGGTAGCCCACGTGCGCCTGCTGGCCCGCACTATGGACAACTTCATCGACCATAACAAGCTGGACAGAGAATTCGCACACCTCTTGGGCGGGGACGAGGATGACAATGATCAATCTTATGGCGGGAGCGACGAGGACGATCAACCTGGACGCCCGGCGGAACAGCCTGACGGAACGGGTGATGACGTAGATTACTCGGAGACAACACTGAGAAGCACAGCACGGTCGCCCGAACCGTCCAATCGGCGGTGGAGCAACCTCGAACAAGAAGAGGAATTAGCTCCGGAGAACATGCCGGTGACCATCGTGGTAAAGGCCGACAACGCCAACACCCTCGCCAGCGTGCTTGACGCGCTTGGAGACTGGGGAGACGTCGAAAACCCCACGGAAAACGTTGGGGAACAACTCGCCGCGGAAGCGTCCGATAGCAATCCTGAAGGAGTTTTGGAGAGAGTTCGACGAAGGCAGCCGCAGGAGTGGGGGGAAGGTGACCTGCAGCACAAGCAGCGCCGGAGGTTGCTTGTCTCCGTAGCTCACTCGGGTGTCGGGGCCGTGACGTCGTCTGACGTACGTCTCGCAAGAGACTGCGAATGTCCGGTGTTTGCTCACAACGTCAGGACCGACACCTCCGCCACGAGGGAGCTGAAACGAGTTGGCGGGGGTGTAGTGCCGGCCTTGCCAGAGGGGGGGGCGGTGGCGGTTGGTGAGGAGGTGAGCGTAGGCATTGGAGGGCAGGAAGGGTTTATCGGGAGGGCGGGGGAGGGGAGAGAGTGCGTCGTGGTGTCGGAAACGGTAGGGGAGCTACTCGGCGAGATCGAACGGTTTGTGTTGCGCGTCAGATAGTACCGGTACAACAGCGGAGAGGGGCGGTTCACAGTTTGTGTGTCTAACCCCGCGATTAGGTCTCTGCTCAGTAAGTTTTGGTGCCTTCTCACGTCCGCGCCGGTCTAGATTCATTCACGGAGTATGCTAGGCGTATCCGCCAAGATAACGCAGCTGGCGCTGTGGGCCGATGTGCCAAACGTATGCAGCTCTCGTCGGTATCGGGGCCGCAGATAACGCGGGTGTGCGGGAAATTCGTGCACTGCCCATGAAGTTCATACACAGATTTTGTTTTGTGTCTCTCTCATCTTGTTCTTTTGTCGAAAATATCTCCCCAGTTGTATGGGAAGAGGCACGCGGGGGGGGGGGCACGCGTCCAGGATTCGAATGACAGACCTTGATTGTCACTCTCTCTCAAAGCTACTTGTAGCTCCCGTAGTCTAGCACCAACAACGCGACCCGCTTCGTGCAGCCTCCCCCCCACCAAAACACCTTCGATCCTCGGAAGCTGTTCATGCCAGTGGCATAGATGATATTTTTACCAACGCAACCCATCCAACTTCTTCGTTCATGGAGCGAACTGTTTGATGTTGTGTGCTTTCGTCTCATCTACAAACAATTCTAAGGGATGTCAAACTTGTCGACGACGTCACGATTGGGATGAAAAGAGGCCTCCTGCTACACGGCACATCCACCCATGTTTTCATTCCGTGTGCTATTCAAGGCGCTGTCGTTGTTGCGTGAGTGCGTGCCATACTTCCCCATACATGCACATAATCGTCTTGTCTTTACCCGAATGCCGAGAAGCTTTCAGCGAAGCCCTCTGGCATTGCGGCGGGAGATTGACTTCCTCCTTGCACACCCTCTCATGCTGGTGCCGATTGTTTTCCGGGTGTCGCGGCTGCTTGGCGGAGGTACTCACCGCCGGCGCCGGCGGCCTTACGTTACCCCTGCGTTGTCCCTCGTGTTCTCTATAACCCCCGCGCTCTCCGTGAGAGCTTCGACCGGGGTTCCCGCCAGGGACTGGCTCACGGTTCCCCCTGCCCGGAAGCCATGCATCGTGTTCTGCCCTCCGTCGCCACCTATGTCCCTTTCGCGCATGCAACATTGCAGAGGAGCCGCGGTCATACCTGCCGCGAGGCCATTGCGGTTGCCCCCGCGTACCATCGGAAGCTCGGGAAACATGAACCCCTCACGTATATGTTCCAGCCCGCTGACAATCGGAAACTCTTGTATCGCTCGTAGACACAACTCACTAGTCTACACTGACGGTCTGCCGCGTTTCACGACGATGACGGCGTGCGGCGAGCTCAACGTCTTCCCGAAGTGGAAATTAAGATCACCCCCCCTTTTCCCGTCTGTCAGGTGCAGCACTTGTGCTGCTAGGCACGCGCTAAATAACGAACTCATCGTGTGAAAAATGCCTCGAACTGCAAACTTTTTTCTGGGCGCCAGTCTACACCTGTGACCAGTACACTGTGGTCGAGCTCCCAAAAAGTATTGTATGTAGCCGCTGAAAGTTGTTTACTGATTATTTGCAAGAATCAGAGGTAGGTGTGTAAAATATGCGAAGATGAGGCTTCGCTACATTTCTTGGTACTCGACGCGGGCATTTTTGATGCTAGTAATATATAGTAAAGATCCTTCGTCCAGCTTGTGGCTGACGGCTTCACCATGCATATATACGTACGTCGACTGTAATTAGTCACAGCCCTGCCTGGCCAGAAGACGGAAAGCATACGTTTCCAAGTCGGGTGTTCACAAGCGTGGGGTTTGGGCGCCCGAGAAACAAACAAATGGTGTGCCTCTTGCGGTACGTCCGGGAATGGGAGATATCGTGCGGTACATCATGTACCACGGGCACTGCCTAACCACACGAGTGCCTGTTGTTTGAACGCCCAGAGATAAACGCGCACATGCCCGCTTCCTGGCCGCACTCGTGACGAGGTTTTATTCGTTTTTGTTTCGCGAGAACACGGCTGGCTGCTGCTGCTGCTGCTGCTGCCGCCGCTGCTGCCGCTGCTGCTGCTGCTACTGCTCCGTGTTCTATTTTTTTATGCATGGTCAAGGGGCTGTGCGAAAAAACATTCCGGACACATAGGCCATCCCCCCCCCCCCTCCGGCTGTTGGAAGTCGTGGAGGCAGTCCGGAAGGGAGTAAAAATAGGGGACACGGAAACTTCGGTGTCAGGAATGCTGTTTGCGGATGATTTTGTTGGTATGTCGGACACCCCTGAGGGACTGCAACTACAAATTGACGCGGCGAAGAAGTTTACTGATAAATGGAGATTGTCTGCCAACGTTAAGAAGAGTGTCATCATGGTGTGCAACGAGGTCAGGGAGGAACCAGTAGAACATAGATGGAAGTGGGGGATCGAGGAGATTGCAGTAGTGGACCAGTACACATACCTCGGAGTAGAGATCGCAAACGACTTCTCGTGGAATGCACACATGTCCAAGGTAGCGGAAAAGGGCAAAGCACGAGCAGGCAAGCTGCACCCAATACTCGCAAACCGGCACCTCGATACACGCATCAAATTGGCGGTTTTGAAGAGCGTAATCGTACCGCCGCTAGAGTACGCCGGAGAAGTATGGGAAGGAAATAAGAAGGTAGTAAAATAACTCGAGGCGGCGCAGATGAAAGCAGCGAAAATCATCCTAGGATGCTCCAAGCGCACAAGTAATGCAGCCGTAAGGGCAGCATTGGGGATCCAATCCCTACGGTCGGGAAGAGACGCAAGGAAGCTGACATGGCAGTATCGCATGTGCGGGATGGGAGAGGAGAGGTTGCCGAGAATAGTATGGGAGGCGAAGTGGGCAAACAAAAAGAGGGGTAGACAACCCACGGAATGGGTCAAGGTTGTAGAGGACGTATGGAAGGGGTTAGACATCGACGAAGATGAAACGCTGGACACGGAGGGTCTACAGGGGTTCAAGGAGGAGATATCTGTTGCTTGTGCCGAGAGAGAAGAACAGAATCTAAGGAAAGAAACCGAGGATAAGGAGGGTCTAGAAGTGTACGGAATGTTGAAAGAAGGAATAGGGTTCAAGGATTACCTACATGGACCAATGGATGCAGGGACAAAGCTTAAGGTCAAATTCAGGACCGGGGACATAGGCCTTCGAGGACGTCGACGAAGACATAGAACGGTAGACGACGAAGACGACAAGTTCAAATCAAATGTGATTGCGGCTTCGAATGCGAAGACCGTGTTCATGTAGTCACGGAATGTCCGTGGTACGAAGAGGAGAGGCAAGTGTACATGACTGAGATGGGAAAAATACAAGGGACGTACAGGGAGATGTTTGAGGCACGGAATAGAGAGGAGAGGACGGTAGCTGTACTGGGGAGTAGGAAGTGGTTTGAAAAGGCGGGAAGGGATATCGTTAGGATAGACAGACTAGGGAAGACATTTTTGAGCCACCTTTGGCAAAGTAGGAAGGAACGATTGGCCATCGGTGATCGGTCCTGTGGGAACAATGCTCCGCCCTCTCGAGGACGCGTGGTCAATGGTCTAACCGCTAAGGCATGCAAAAACATAAGAGAACGCCCCCCCCACCCCACCCCCCCCCGGAGGGGGAAGAATTCGAAATGTTACCATGAATCGTCGAAAAGTTTCCATGAGGTTGCAGTAGATGGATATAGTAAACGTGCCTCACTCTCGTTACCCGTTCTGCATCATCTACCTCCTCGTCATCGATGCCGGCCCACACTCACCACCCAGCCGTGCTACTACAGGAACACACGGTATGCTGGTGGCGCAAAGAATCGCCATCCTAAGTCTCTGCTTGTTGTGCTGGTGCTAGCGGCAGTGATTTGTGCGCGGTGTAGGTTTCGGTTGTTGTGTAGCTTTGGCGCTGTTCTTGTCTCCTACTTGAGCATTCTATCAAGCTAGTGGTTCATTTATTGCGCAACTTATCGTGTCGTTTCTAGGTAGACTAACTAGTAGATAGACTAGTCGTTTCCTTTTTAGCTTTTTAGCTCTTATTTTAGCTGGTTTCTTTCTTGGTATTCGTTCAGGGCTGCCATGTCGTTGTGTCCTTCGCAGAGTCCTTCTTCGTGTTTCTGCGAGAGAGGGGCTGTAGAGTCCAGTATATATACGAGAGAGAGCGTCGCTCATCAACCCAACTGATGGATGTCACTTGGTTGCTTGGGAGTAACATTTCAATATTTCTAGCTAAATATTTCCTCATGTTGAAAACCAACAAATTCAGTCGATGAACGAAATTTCTATCGTTTTCCCCGCGATAGTGCCTCTGTCAGATGGGCCAAAATCACTCATTTTTTATGCTCTAGTGAAGCCAAATCGCGTACAAAAGCGCCTCCGGCGGGGCGCCTCCAGCGGGCCCTCACCAGCCGGGGGGGGGCGATGGTCGCGACTGCGCCGCGACCGCGCGGCTTCGCCGCGCCACCAGTGTACTGATCGGATCCGGTATATTCAGCAGCCAGTATACTTTGTACCTGGCGCTTACATACATACGTCGTTTAGGTTAACCAGGAACGAAGGATTTTTAAAATGCCGTGCCTTGTACCAACTTTAAGTAGTACCAACTATTAGGCCAGGATTTTGACCGTTTCTGACCGTTACAGCATGATGCGTACATACAGCAAGTCTCCCGATCATGCGATTCATCAGTCATCGTTGGTGCATCGTCCAGGGGATGCAAGATCTTTTTTTGCGGCGTCAAAAATGGTCGCCTGCCGAGCACAAACAAACAAACACCGAAATGCACGGAAATGCACGGAAGCCGTGTAGGTCGTTTTAGTCTAACGCAGTATATGCATAGGTCCCCGCACTCTGTCCTGATCTTTTCAGCGAAGAAGAGTATGTACAGTAGTCTCAGCAGTAAGCTGTGCTCGATCGAGAACGAACAGCTTCAACGGGTGTTGGTTGCAATACGGACGGACGGGTAGACTTGTCTTTCTGGGAGGTCATGTACTTTCTGAAAACAGTTGGCGCGGTTGCTTGCGGGCCACAACCAACCTGGACATCAGGGGAACTCTCTACAACCACATACAGTATAGAGGTCACCACCACAACGCGCTGTTGAGAGCTCTCTGCATGCTGTTGGCGGAGGATCGATCGGTTGAAGCACAGGTAGGTTGAAAGGACACCCGCTGCTGTACCACCGACCACACCTGGCTGACTGAACTCTTTGTCCCTCCATGGATACGATTGACTGCTCTTGCGGAGTCTCCTCTCGTGCACGCCGCGCATCTTGCGACACAAGCGAAAAAGGTTTGAATATAGTGAGCACCCGGCGATGCTTTTCGCTGGTCAGCGCTGCTCTATACCACACCTACCTGTGCCTGAAATATTTTACCCTCCCATGGATGCGATTGATTGCGGGGACATTTTACCCTCCCATGGATACGAGTGATTTGCGGGGACATCTTATTGTATGTACAATGAATGGACATTGAATCGTTCTTGCTGCTCTGCATGTATTTTGACCCAAAAAGAGCAAAACAAAAAATATGGCCCGACTTTCGCCATCTGACTTCAAGCCTACTCTGGATCTTGCATCTTTCCACCATGCAGCCTTCTTCGCTAAAAAAAAAGCCGCCCACGGCTCAATCACATACACACCGCTACAGCAGTAGTACTGCCAGCTCCTCTCGCTTGGCACGCTTGCCTACACCTGCTGGTGTTGCAAGATGAAAGCCAGAGATTGCCTCCTGGGCTGCCTCATCCTTTCGCCGCACGTGCTGGTGGTGGCCTTGCATGTATCATCGTTCTCGCCCAAGATCCGGCATGGGAGGAGTGCTCCCTCTGCTGCTGCAATGCTCGGGTGAGATAGATCATGAGGCAATAATACTAGCAACTAGCAACGACCACCTACCGCCTCCCGCACACGTGGTAGAGGGTCTGGAGATGGTCATCTCAGCTGTGGTCTTGTGGTGTGCAGCACCTCGCTCTTTGGCCGCGCAGCGTGCTCTTGCAGAGCAGAAAGTGTAACTACAACAGCCCAGCAGCATTTTTAATTCACCGCGGGGTATGTAGGTTCATGGTGACGTGTGATGGGAGATAGACCGAAAGGCACTGCGTACTTCCTGGTGTCTCATGCACCTTCACCAGAGAGGAGAAGCACATTGGCTGGTACGTGGCCGGGCAGGCAATGCCACCCGCATGGTGTTGTGGCTTCCCGGGGGGAGGTAGCAAGAGGATCAGACAAGAAATCCGTAGCGCTCGCGGGTTGCTTTCGGAGAACTACTGACTTGCTGCTGCTGTGTGTCGCCGAGCGTCCCCTGACTGCTACGTAAATCTGCAGCGCCCGGAGGGGCAGATGTGCCGCATGCTTCTGCTCGTCTGGTGTGTCTATGATCGCGGTGTTCCGCAAAAGCCCCACAGCGTTTGTAGGCACGTGATGCCCCCTCTCGACAACAAGCAGAAAACAGCACACGTACGGTGATGTCTGATCTCGTGGTAAGTTGTGAGCAACAAGCAGACAGAGCACGCCGTGTGCCCATGGTCAATCCTGGGGGTCTTCAAATTTTGCATCCACATCTGCGCACACTCACATCTTCTCTGTATTGTGCGTACACACCAGCAGCAGCGCCCATCAACTCAATGGTTGTTGCAGCTGCTTTTGTGGACTCCTCCCACTACGCTACAGCCGGCAACAGCCAGAGACATAATTGCTCCTCTCCTGCTGTTGTGGGAATGTGGGGGTGGTTTGCAGGTCGCAGCAGCAGCAGCATGCTTCTCGGTGCGGACACATACAGGCAACTGTCCAGGAGAGCCCGGGGGAGGAAGCTGTAGCCTACGGTACGGACGCAGCGCCCAACGATGCAGCACAATGGCCGTACGATTGGCGCAAACAGTTAAGAAGGAAGCATTCGGGGCGTGTGACGGCGTCTGTGCTGTGTGTGGGCGGGCCTGGGGAGGAATGGAAATTTTGCGTCCTCTCTGTAGCTGTTCATGTTACATGCTACAATACCGCCGTGTGTCCCTGCCAGCAGCAGTCCCGGTAATATTATTGACAGGGAGGCCTGATCAAATTGGAATTTGCGTGTTGGTGCAGTACAGCAGTCTCCATGGGTAATAATGAGGAGGACTCGTGACAAAACGAAGAATAAAGTTCGGTGCTCTCTACGTATTCATAGTCTATGTATTGTATGCATAAGACGGCGAAGGAACACACGGAGTCGCAACCGTTCCGGTTGTGCTATTCCATGAACACTTGCTGTAGCTAAGCTCCGTCTCCTGCTCTTTTAATGTGAACGCCTTTCCATGGCACTATAATATTGCAGCAGTAGTCTACCGCCGAAGTGATGTCTAGTAGGTCTAGACAACCCAACAAAAAAATCGCACTTGGCGCTTGGCACTGCTTGGTCTGCGATGGTTGCCTCGCAGAGGGAGAGAGAGAGCGCGGGCAACATTAACCATGTATGTGCTTGGGCGGAATGAGCGTTGGTAGATAACTGCTGTTCTGCGATGAACCAGGGAACGATGAAGCATCAACCAAAATCAACGTCCCCTGCTGCTATAGCCATCTCAATAGACCACCGGTGCTTGTTGGCAATAGGGGCGAGAGCCTAACCGGCGAGAACCTCGCGTGGAAAGAAAGATACGCATACGTAGTTGCTGTAGCATATGGTGATGAAAGGGAAAAAAAAGTATTTTCGAATCTCCAGAATTGTTGTTGTTGTTGTTGTCTTCACATTAAAAACCGTTCCGATCTCTCTCTACCCAGTACCTTCGTATGTCCGTACTGATCCAACACTCGACGCGGTCGATTCCCGTGGTCACAGAATATCTGTCTTGATTTCTATTGACTTGCGGACCCCTCGGGGCCAGTTTGTTAGAGCGTACCTTTTTAGGGTAGGTTAGCCTGTGACCACGGGAATCGACCGGGTCAAGTGTTGGATCAGTACGGACATATGAAGGTACTGGGTAGAGAGAGATCGGAACGTTTTCAAATGTGAAGACAACAACAACAACAACAATACAAGATCTACACATCATCGCACGTATCTTGATGAGATCTTAGACCCTCTTGTAGTTAGACTAGGTGTGGAGAATGGCATAGAGCCGGTGCGAACGAATACGGAGGTTATTTTTTTTGGGAACCTTTTGTGTTGATTTTTTGTTTCTTGACTTTCTGCCTTTGCCTCTCGCGTGTTGATTGAGAGGGGTGGACTTGGTGAAGTTTTGCCTGTTTTCGATCTCCTGTGTACTTGGAAGTACTAGTGTTCTCCATCGCGCCCATGTCGATTGATCGTGGTCCTCTTATTTCTCGGATTGTCACACTACGTATGTCCGTACCCAAATCTGGGGAGTTAAGTCTATGGTGACAACGGCGTCCGCGTCACAGCCTATGCAGAGACCAGGATGGGTTTTTTGTTGATGGATGGATTATTTTGAATGTGCAGACATGACATCACCCACGTTACCGTTACGTCAACCCTGCTGACCGCACAACACCGCTTCATCGGTTTGTTGCTGAACGGCAGGAATGAATAAGTCTCAAGAGGTAGCAGGTATTTGTTGGCTATGGCGATGGCCATGGTTGAGGTGGCCACAGGCTCACAAGCAGCTGTTAATAGACTCATCCTTTTCGAGCGGAACCTGTGTGCCCAGGTTTCCGAGCTAGAGCAAGCGGTGTGTTCTGTTCATGCCCTTCTTCTTCTTTTCCTCGTTGCTGTTGCTGTTGGCGGTTGTCTTCGCACCACGAAAATCGTTCTTGGTTTTGCTTTCCGAGGTCGCCTCTTCTTCTGTTTTGATTTGCTGCATACCTCTAGCTAGTGTCATGTCCACACATACATGCACCGCCTCCATCAGCATGATGAACGGTCTCTACAGCAGCGTACGTTCCCCCCCCGTCCCGTCTCGTCCCGTCCCGTGTACAGCTGGTATGCCGTGGGCTACGACAGAGACATCGTCGAGGGCCCAAAGCCCTTCGCTGTGTCCATCTTCGACGAGCCCCTGATGCTGTACCGAGACACCAGCGGCGCGCTGCAGTGCGTGAGCGACTTCTGCCCTCACCGCGCGGCCAAGCTTTCCGAAGGGCAGGTGAAGTAGTAGCAGAACATGTACAATGTAGCCTTCACAGGGTTGTATATATAGCATGCGATGGGAGAAAGTTGGGTTAGGGTTAGGGACAGGTCTGCGTACCCCCTCCCTGTTCTGTTTCTTCCTTAACTTAATTTCTCGAGAATTCGGTCACACAGCAGTAGTCTTGCGAGCAAGACTAGAGAGCAATACCGCTTGCTGCTGTGGGGGGTCTATTCACCAAGCAAGGTCGTTTGATGCGTAGGAGAAGGTTTTAACGTTTCCCCTTTAACTGCTGTGGGTGCCATCAAGTTCCTTCCATGAGGAATATGTTGTGCTGTGCGTGTCTCAAGTACAACGTGCAATGACGTAGAAGAGTACCTCGAGGTTTTGGTGGTACAGGCAACAGCACAGCAGCGTTGGATAAAGCCCGTTGGAGTCAGGAGTGGGTTGAGAGCAGCGGCGTTGATGGCGAACACACGCACGGCACAGTAGTAAATAGTAGTGGCGTTGAGTTGTGTCAGCGTTTGTCGACGGGCCTTCCCACGGAACCGATTTGGGGCGTGGGTGGGTAGGCCTTCCTAGAATGTCCGCTCTCACTCCCATGGCCCTTACGGCGTGTGCCAGTGACCTCTCGAATTGCCTTGGCTACCGCTCTGTATTTTTGGGGGGTTGGGCCGGCGCGCTCGACTCCCTCACCGCTCTACCTGCAGAGTCGGTGGGAGTTGGTGCCGTCTCTTGCCCTTTTGCGGACCGGCCGCCTTCTCTGGGCAATGTTTGGCGAAACGTGAGGGTGAAACCTGCACCGGACGTAGCTGTACCGTTTGCCCATTAGCATTCTTAAGTGCCGCTGAACTCGCTTCGAAAGTCGTCTCTGAAATTTGCCAGCAAGCGAGTGGTGCCGGTGCCGAAGGGGGCGGTGGTTTCTACCGTACGTTATACTATGTGGGTCGTCGGGCGGCGGTTGCCCGTGCAATGTCCTAACACAACAATGCTTGCCAACCCGTGGACAGATTACGGAGGACGGCAACATCGAGTGTCTTTACCATGGCTGGCAGTTTGAAGGCTCCAAGGGCGCTTGCGTCAAAGTCCCGCAGGTGCGCGCGATATCCCCCCCGGACCCGCTGCTCCATTTTATGCTTGTGTTCCTGTGAACGAAAGGGGAATGTAGTCTGTTTTCCAACATCGTTGATGCAGAGCCCGGTGTTTGTTGCATAGATCTAGTTATCGTTTTGGTGCTTTACAGCACGCCCTCCGACAGACAGACCACTAGGTCTGAACCACGCACACACATCTGCAGACGACAAAAAACAAACAACGTACCCGTTACATCAGTCTTGGGATGATTTCTTCGAAACGCGAGTTTTTGACGCCCATTTTCTCAGCGCATTGCACCCTTGTGTTTTCATGGCCTGGCATTGCTGCTAATGCCTTTGGTCCTGCCGCTGACTGGCTGACTCAATGCGCTTGTGGGGCGCATGTGTGCTTTACTCCGCTACCGTACCGCTGCAGCTTCCGGAAGGGGCAACCCCGCCTCGGGCGGCCACCCTCCGCGTGTACCCGCTGGCGGTGAACGAGGGAGTTGTATACGTCTGGATGGGAGAGAACCCTTGGGGGGAAGGGGCGAAGGACATTCTTCCCATTCCGTCCACCCCGGACAACTTGGACGAGAACAAGGTACGCTTGAGAGAGCAACGTTTGACGGGCGGCTTTCTCGGACCCGTTTCTTGAGAGACACAGCTAGTGTCAACTCGCAGTTTGAAGCGTGAGGTTGGGAGTGCGGCATAGCGTCCCGCCGCTTGCCTTGTCCATCCCTTCTATTTATACGACGTTGCTCATACACGAGCGCTGTATGTCATCGACGGTTGCCGTCCTCGCTGTTATGAGGCGTGGGGGCGAGGTTGGGCATTTCCACCGCTGTACGCATAGCGTCGCCTAGCCTGTCGTCGCCAAACCAAGACGGCCGCAAGAAATAGCTTCTGGGCAAGTTTACGCAAAGCCGCCGCCCCTTGTTTCTCCACTCCAACAGCAGCAGGCACCCACACACCGAGCACGGGGTTATCAATTTCTTTGCGGCGTATGTGGAACAAAAAAATACGAAGCCGCTCCCGAATACGGCAGCCAGCCGAGGGTACCTTGTTGTCTGCCACACTGCTGCACACCTACCGCTGTAAACCGCGCCCTGGTCCGTGCTGGAAACGGCCGTTACCGGACATTGTTGCGTTCCACTTGGTTGCTATCTCCGGTTTTCTTCGCCTCGAGTTGTTGTTTAGATTTTGGCCTCTGACTTGTTCGTGGTGATTCGATTCCCGTGCGCGTCATCCAGAGTTGTCAAAAAGCTCCCCTTTAGTTTCTAATCTTGTATCCCGTCGCGTGCTTGTTGCTTCGCTTCGATCGTTGTGTGCGGTGTGGTGTTCCGCGATCACGGACGGAACGACGTTTCCACCGCGCCGTCTCAGCCGACCTTCACGTACGAGTTCGTGTGCGACTTGCCGTACGACTGGAGCTACCTCACCGAAAAGTGAGTGCCTTCACGATATTCACGGCGTGAGCGAAGGTTTGCGTCGCAGCAACAGCAAAAAGTGATTGGATTCTTACTTCCTACAGTGCAGCAGTGGTAGACCGTAGAGTAATATACGCAACGATGCGCTCCACGCACGACCATTCCGAGTACTGTAGTTCCCCCTTACCCCCCCTCCCCCCCACACACCCGCCCCCCCCGGTGTTTGCCATCGGGGTTGGGTTTTCGTCGCTTGGCAACGACGTTGTAAAACAAGCCCCCCCCCCCCGGTGTTTGCCATCGGGATTGGGTTTTCGTCGCTTGGCAACGACGTTGTAAAACAAGCCAATTCACTTCGTGAACTCGGCAACCAGGTTACCGTTTTTTTTTTACCTCTGTTTTTTTTTTGGCGGTTACCATAATGGTCGAGTAGATTATGTTGTGCGGGGTGGAGAAACCTCACTCCGCGCAAGGGGCATGGTCGCACCACGTTGTGTTAAATTGGTCAAGCATCCTCGAGGCAGTTACAAAGCGCTTACAACTGTCTCTGGAAGTGAAAGCACCAGAAAATAAATTAAGTCATACGTAGCTGTCATCCGTACGCAAGGAAGTAAGCACAAGATGCCGAACACCCTTAGCAGGATGCAGCTCACCCTTCATGCGACTCGCCGAATACCTCACGGCGCTTCGCGCTTGGTGATGTGAGAGCCTGGTCCGGTGAGAACCCGGCGTGCTCCGTCCCGGCTTTGTAGGGATGCGAGGTCAATGGTCTAACGACTACGGCATGCACGACTATGAGTACACCCCCCCACACACACACACACCCCACCCAATCCTCGACGTCCGCGTGCTTCTGCTGCCTGCGCCGTTCCGTGCGCTGCTCGTGATCCGGCAGCTTGCTGGACCCGGCCCACATCCCGGTTAGCCATGACAAGACCGAGGGCGGGGGCAACAAAGAAAACGCCAGCCCCACCCAATTCGATGTGAGCATGCATTTCATAGTTGGAAACGAGAATGTTTCTCCGCGTTCTCGGGTACAGTAGTGGTGCAAATGGCACTGCTGTGTGCTTCCTAGTAAAAAAATTCTGATGCGCGTTTATAGACGCAGTGCGCAACGAATGCAAACCGTGTTCGCACCATCCTGTAGGTAGGTAGGTAGGTAGGACAGCTGAGACTCGGCTTACTAGCTACTTCCAGAGGGTTGGAAACGCGGGGGGCGCGCCAACCGCGCGGTGCACGACCGGTTTTTTTTTTCCCGTTCGATTGCTGGAAAAGTTGGACATTTTTGTGTCTGTCCTGGTATTGTTACTGGTCGGTCGTGGGGTCTACGATGTCGATGGGGCCCCCCATTTTCTCTGTCGCTACCGCTCCTTAGATAGGTAGTCGTGTTACATAACCACGTCGCAAGAGTTTTATTTAAGCCCGATTACAGCACTGTACCCCCATTATTCGAAGGAGGGTTCAAGAGAACGAGGTGTCGGCCTTACGGAATCCCGAAATCGATTGAGAGACGTGCTCTCGTCGTTGGCTGGTAAAGTACCACAGGACGACTGGCGGCCCGGGGGGGAGGTGGGGGAGGGGGGCGTACTCATTTGTTGCTTGCCATAGTCATTTGACCATTGACCACGCGTCCCTTTCGAGACGGAGCACCGTTCTTACACCTACTAGAGACACCACCAACATTTGGGAGCTCTTTACGTTTCTGCCACAAACTCCATAAAAATTTCTTGCACATCTTATCCCCGTCCTCTAGGGCCTCTTGTGCCCACCATCTATCCCCAATTATCGCGATCGTTTTTTCGCTGTTGTCTAATTTACCAAACTTGTCCATGTCACACCCTCTCTGTCTCATTTCCTCCTCGAGATCCTCTCTTTCCTTCCTGTACAACTCACACTCCCCAACTATGTGGGGTCTACTCTCCTCCGATTTGCCACATGGACATGTGTGTCTATCCTCCTCTTCCTCTCTCCTACGGCTGGTATACCTCTTCCTCCGTTCTGGCAAGTCCAGATCGCCTACTCGAAATTGCAATTTCAGCTTTTTCGCATAGTCCATGGGGCCGTCCAAGATCGTCTTCATCCCTATCCCTTCTTTCAACTTCCCGTATATCTCCAAGTGGTCTTCGCTTCGTACCTTCTTCCGAAGGGTTGCCTCCTCCCTACTCTCTAGCATCTCCTTGACTTTCGTCTTGAACCCCCCGAACCCTTCCGTGTCCAACGTCTCCTCCTCGTCTCCTATCTCCTTCCAAACCTTCTCTACCACCTTGTCCCATCTGATTCCCTTCTTCCCTGGAGTCGCTTTTCCCCAAGCTACCTTGTC